CCATGCACACATGTGCACACTAGTTTCCTGTTAGAAAAAAAACCTTTTTGGAGAGCGAGTACAGCCCTCACATTACTTCAGGCACTCTGGACTGGGGAAGAAGCATGTGCAGGCAGCACGGGCACTGTTTGAAGGCTCATGGAGCACTGTGCAGGGCTAGGGGAGCTGTGGAGCCAAGTACTGTGCGAGTGGGTGCAGGTCAGCCCTGCCACTTGGGCATCACCTTCTAGTCCTTCTGTGTCATGACATAGATGGGTCCTCCCATGCAGCTTGTGAAATGAGACCATGGGATCAGGCTGGGGGAGGGCAGTGGGAGTATGCCAGCCCACTTCTTGTCTTACCACTGAGGGAAGCAAGAGTGATTAGTATGGTTGTCATGCCACTTGGGAAGACATCTTGGACATGGAGAATCCCTCGTTGTTCAAGACAGATGCTCCTCTCTCTGCCTGCTGTGACGGGAAGCATCTCAACCCTGTGCAGAAGGAACAGCGCAGGCAGGGAGCCCATCAGGCAGGAGGCAGGGCCTACACTGGCCAGCATCCCTGCCATCATCCTGCTGGCTTAAGAAGAGAGACAGATGAAGCTGTCACGGGGCAGCCGCAGATGTGAGCTCTCACCTTTTGGGGTGGCCCCGAGGGTTTCTGTAGACGAGGTTTTTGCTGTGGCCTCCAGCATGCTCACTCACGTTCAAGCATCCACCTGCAAGAGAGGGAAACCCCCTTCAGAGAGCTCTCCTATCTGGTGGCAGTGAGACCGCTCAGCACCTGGGGTCCTCCCGCTGTCCTCCGGAGGTGAGGGGAGGTGAACCCCTGCTGCTCCAGGGTGCTCTGCCCCTGCCCGTCTGACTGCCCGCTCTTCCCACCCACCTCTGCCCGCAGGCACTGGCAGAAATGCTGAAGGCCAATAACACCCTGAAGAGCCTGAACGTGGAATCAAACTTCATTTCTGGGTCGGGGATCCTGGCTGTTGTCGAAGCGCTCCAGGGCAACACCTCGCTCGTAGAGCTGCGCATCGACAACCAGGTAAAGCGTGCGCAGGGGGAGCTCCGACCGGGTGAACGTGTCCTGCTTGTGGGAGATGGAGCGGCTGGTCAAGGTGGAGGGGGGCAGCCCGCTGCCACTGCCAGGTTGCTTTGGAGAGGTTTCTGCCCCTTGTTCCTGCTGCAGTTCCTGGGCAGTATCTGCTGCTGCCTGCAGTAGTTAACAAAGGCTGCGGCAGTGCAAGCACGTTACCGTGTTCCTGGTGCTGCCCTGGAGAGCAGTGATCTGCCTGTCCAGTATCACGTGTTGCTCTGAGCTCTTGCAGGGATTTAAATAATAATGTCTGTTTAATAAAACTGAAATTTTTGCTACAATGCAGGGGAAGGAGAAGGAGAGCTTCAGAGTGTGCGGTGATACAGATGCTGTGGCATGTTTAGCTCCCTTGGAAACTTGGGGGGGGGTAGTAGTGAAGCCGCTGAGCTACGGGGAGCTCAGGGACAGGTGACTGGGAGTTCAAAATCGTTGTTTCTTCTGATGTCTGTCAGCTGAAAATCTGTCCAAGAAATAAAGCCTTTGAGCAAGAGGACTTGTGAGAGTGTCTGCTGGAGGAGTTGGAGCCACTCGGTTGTACCAGGAACAGGCCAGTGGTTTGTTTCACCAGCTCCAAGTCAGAAATGCCAAATGGACCAAGAGGTCCAAAGAAGGAGGGAAGGGGTGGAGATGACAGATCTAAGCGCTCACTCTGGATCATCCTCTGACCTGATCAGCTTGTTTTCCTATTTTCAAAAGAGCCAGCCCTTGGGCAACAACGTAGAAATGGAAATCGCAAACATGTTGGAAAAAAACACCTCCCTGCTGAAGTTCGGGTACCATTTCACTCAGCAAGGTCCCCGGCTCCGCGCCTCCAATGCCATGATGAACAACAATGACCTAGGTAAGTGAGGCTGGCTGCAAGCCAGGGAGCACGGGAAGGTCCTGTGGGCAGTTTGTGGTGGGAGAGGGGCAGAACCACTTGCTTAAAGGTTCTGGTGGATGTGCTTAAATTAGAAACCACCTCTTGAAGGGCCTGATGATGCCTTGCCCCTTGAAGAGGAAAGCAGCCTTCACTGACTGGTTCCCTAACGCAGCTGCTCTCAGTGGGTTGTGCTCCAAACCTGCAGACACTGGACAGCTAAAACTTCCAGAAGAGGCAGCATTTTTGGCAGTAACAGTGAGTCTTGTTGGGAAGGAGCAAGAGAGAGCTGCTAACGTGCTTCGATACGGCGCGTGATAGCATATGGCACATGGGTTGTGAGCTGCCAGCACTTGTCGTTCCTGCCAACTGCTTGTCTTCCTCCAGTTTCATTCCCATTTTAACAAGGAGATGAAAAGTAGTACAGTTGAACTTTGATGGCAGTGGGACTTGGCCCATCCCCTTCAGCAAAACAAATTGGAAGTGTTCCCGGGGAGAGGTGGGAAGCCACATGGCTTTGAATTATCATTATACCCTCAATGAAGTGATCAGAAGGGCTTGTGAAACAAAATGTGGGCACGTCTGCAAACTGCTGTTTCGGCCGATGCATGTGGCAGAGGCTTTCCATTGCTTGGCTACGAGCTGCTGTAGAGCACTGGAAACCAGTCCAGCAGAGCGGTATTGAATGCAACTAACATACCATCCACGCTGTACTCAGCAGCTCCTAACTGCATAGGCAGGCTGGTTACAAACATGACAGTGCCAAATTCCTCCTCGGCAGCGGCAGAGAATATATCCGGGAGGAACGAGCAGAAGTCTGCAGACTGTGCGTTGGGAAGAACCCCTTCCCCGGGAGGGTGGAGGGTTGCAAGGGTGAGAGGGACAGAGCTGGTGGCTGCCCTGACGCCGTGCTGGGCAGAGCCCTGCTGCGAGCTGGAGGTTGGGCTGGAGGCTCCCAGGGACACCCCCCACCACTGGCGCCCCTGGGTTCTGCCAGACACATCCACAAAGCACGGGCTTAACAGACCGGGTCTGAGAAAAGACCTGACATATAAAACTACCCGTGAAGAAACAGTGGAGAACTGGATCTGCATGTCTTAATCTGCATATGGTTCACCACAGACAGGGTCTTCCATCCCTTCACGAATCAACTTCAGGTTTAAAAGCCACAGAAAAACAGTTTTAAGTGGCTGCCGTTATGTAGACAGATGATAAATGTGTTGTGTTTTAAAAATAAAAAAAGACAAATCAGTCTTGCTTCAGCCAGTACCATGCTCCTAGGAAGCACAGCCAAGCACAGAGGTATGTGCCAGTTCTTCAGTGACCACACAGCATACCCAGTGTTACAGTTCCCTGTGTATTTATTCTGCCTGAGGCTGCATTCCTGGTCACCAGAGAGCTGCCCCAGGAAAGGCTTGCTATTTTATGTCCTTTGGAACAGAGCAGGGGTTTTAATGACCGTGCAGCAGCTGGCATACAAAGTAATCAGCTGGAAGATTCGGATCTAGTGTTTTAATTGTTCCTGCTGTAAGGGGAAGCATTGACAACTTGCATTCCATGTAACAGCTGTGCGTTTTGCCTCTTCGACCACTAAGATCTGCATATTTGTCTGATTTGGTTTGTTTGCAGCACGTATTCATCGGTGTGATGGTGTCTGGCAATAGCATCTCAGCTCCACACCTGGACAATGTATAAGTATAGAAAAACTTTATTTTCCTCCCTGTCAGCAGTAGCTCTCTGCTTGTGCTCCACTACAGTGCTCTTGCCTACCATCTACCAAAACTTTGTTTTGGCCCTATAGTATCTTTTCTCTAAGGTGCTCTATATGAACCAACTATCAAGGCTTTTATATTCATCCTTGTGAACTAACTTCTGCATCTTTATACATTTTTTTTTCCTTTTTTTCCTCACACACTTTTCTTGAAAAGCCATGATTGTAGCTGTCAGGCTTGTAAATCAACCTTAGGAGACTGCTTTGGCCATGTTAACCATGATCAGAGCATTGGAGGCTAAAAGCTTAATAGAAGAAATTAGGTAGAATTTTTTTTTTCATTTGAAATGTCAATTTAGAAAAATCAGAAAAAAATACCTGTGGCATCCATCTCTTGCTGCCTACATCAGTCAGCATCAGATGATGCTTTGGCCAAAATCAGATTACAAAGACAAACCCTGTGAAATATAACTGACTGTAGAATACAGGAGGTAAGGCAGAAAGTAGCTTCTGGCCTTAAAAATTCATAGGGACAGAAACCTCATCTTACATTCCTTGATCTTAAACTGTGTAAGGCTGTGCCTGCTGCTTAAAGCAGGAATTCAGAAGCTGATGCTATCCTCTTTCTTCCCTGGCAGAAAGTATGTCTCTCAGCTCCTTTCCACAGCGGGTAAGCCAATTCTGCCATCCACATCTTCCTGTTGTGATGACTGACTCCTCTTCCTCTTCTTTTTCAGTGAGGAAAAGAAGACTTGCAGAGTTCAATGGGCCTATTTTTCCCAAGTGCAGAACTGGAGTGTAGTTCCTGGCTACGGAGGTCATTCCCGGTGATCTGTGCTACACTGTGGAAATCTAAAGGCAATAAGTGCCTTGACAGAGTATTTGTGGTGCCTCAGTTCTGTTTTATGCACTAGCAGTTTTAAATAACTAGTGGCTGTAGTTGAAGATTTTATCCAGTAGAACTGCTGATGTTTTCTGTAGAGTGGGAAACTATTCAAGCCAGTTACAACCTGCCAATTTTATGCAATCTCAGTTTAGAGTATATCCCAGTGTAAAAGTGACTCTTAATTAACCTGGGACCTAATTTTTCTATAAACTTCCTGCACGGTGTTTCATACAGTTGTGGTATGCATGAGTGAAAGATACAACTATTCCACACAAATGTTAGAAGTATTAAAAAAATACTTTATTTTTTTTTTTTAAATTGATCTCAAGTAACTATAGAGGATCAGCTAGTTTAACAAGCACTTCTACTACCTGGAAACATGGCTAATTTCAAGAAATGTGAATTTTTTACCAACATTTGCTGAGTCGGCTGAAGATGCTGTTTCAAATGCAACCCTGTGTTTCGTAGAAAAAAAATGATCTCCACCCTCTGATTAAATGGAACTTAAAGGCCACCAATTATAAAACAGTCTCAAAAACTGAGCAGTTTAGGATGGGTTAATATCTTTCTGTCCTGTGCATGTCTGAAGGAAACCGTCACCTTCACAGATGCAATTCAAATCCTAACCACCCAGAGATGGCCAAACCAATTGGTAAACCAGGGCCCTCCCTTCTAATCCCCACTCCCTTTAGTTTCCTAATGTTAAAAGCATGTGTCCAGATATCCAATGGATCTCTTTCTTTGCTGTATTGTCTAGATGACCACACCCATTAATTAAATTTTGTTCTGCTAGGGAGTGTTTCTTTTACTGTCTGCATAAATGCAACAATAAATGTGCCCTAGAAAAACTGTCAAGTGAAATACCCCAACTCTGAACTTACACTGTGTACAGTCCGACGGCTTTTGTCAGGCAGCCTACTACCCATCATCTAGTCTGGGAGGAATTCCCCACGGGCTTGTGTGGCTCCCAGATATGCAGTGGGTTGTACCCAGCACTATTCCATCAAAAACTCCTGCTATTAACGTGGGTGGGATCCTGCTTGGTAGGAGGACTCTCCTGGCAGAAGCACTGCTCTACTGAAGCCTTATTCTTGGTCTAATGACAACATGTCCTAGAAAACGTTCTCAATTGCTAGAAATCTGTCTGTACACGTCTGTCAAGAGTGAAGTTTTGCAGCCTTTTACACATACTCCAGCAAAAGTCCCACAGATTTCTTCAGAGCTTGTGTGCAAATACCACCCACAATTTAGCTCTGACCAGCAAAGCAAAGAAACACTATACTTTCAGCAATGTGGGAAACATTTGTTGCTCTTCAAATCTTAATAAATGCGCCAGTGGTATCAAACAAAACGCTTCACTAGAGCTTCTTCCCCCAACCCTGGAAGTTCCATATCAGAAAGTGAAAAGAATACAGAACAAAAAATACCTGAAGACATACTAAAAACCCCAAAACTGGCAGACAGCCTCTTTCTTCCATATGCACTGCAAAGACTTCAGAACAGTCAGCTAAATCATCAAACCAAAGCCACAGTTTCAGCTGAGCCATCTGTTCAGATTTGCAAGGTAAAGGCTCAGCTCCTCCGCTGAACTCCGAACATAAATGAATTTTATCCTGGGAAATTCCGATGGCGCTAAGAAACCCAGGCATGCAAGGAGATGCATCTGCAGAGCAGGAAGCACTACCATGAATACAACAACTGCATATTTTCCTGAATGAAGAAAAAAAAAGCCCTTAAAACTAAAAAAAAAAAAAAAAAAAAAGGCAAGAGCTTTGTCCTGCGTTTCACTGCAGCAGAATCCAAATTAATCATGCAGCCCAAACAGACATTAAGCTGGCAGGGTCACTCCAGGTTCCTCAGCTGATCCTTACAGAGCTGCTTTGATGAAAGATGCATGTGAGAGCCAAGAGCTGTGCAGCAGTGACACGCTGTACTGAGAAGCATCAGGCTTTGCGGTGAAAGGCATCAAGCTGTGCAGTGATGGAGCTACAAAACAGTGATATTTAGGAGAAAAGGGATCACTGTTTGTCCCAGCAGCTCTTTAGGAAAAGAGGAAAAAGCCATCTGCTGACGGCAGCATCTGGCAGTCACAGCCAATCCTACTTAACTCACCTCTCCGGGAGCTAATGTGCCCTCTCTCAGGCATTACCACTGAGGTACCTGGATCCCAGCACACAGCATTTCACACAGCAAGTCCTTATCTGTATAAATCTGACAAAAATAATCCAGAATCCAGAAAAGCTGCTTCTGGGATAACTTGCAAAAGGGAGGCTAAGATGTCTCTTACCCCCCCCCCCCCCCCTACAGCAGAGGAAACCCAGCTTTATGGGCCTCCATCTGTTCCTCTCAAACCCTTCTCCTCCCTTGCCTTAATGCAGCAAGGACCAGAAAAGGCCCCATGGCTTCCCTCTGCCTTTGAGGTAGAATCTCCAGCTGCCAGGAGCTCTCAGGAGAATTGTACCTTTTAGCCAGGTCTACCACATGGCAGACAGCTAGGCAGGTTTCAGCATTTACATCTGCAGAATTAACCATCTCCAATGTAACAGATGAAGTGTATTTGTGCAGTACTTTAAAAATTATGATGGAAGCACTAAAGTTTATATATGAGTTTCAGAAATTTACATATAAAATATAGTAGTTGCCATTCTGTACAGATACATGATATAGAAACAGCCTTCCAAACAGATTAGTGTTCCAGACTTGCTGATAGGCTGAATTATAAAATTGTATTATTTTTAGCCTAATACATAAAGAAAAGAGAGAGTATAGTATGCAAGTTAGAGCATTCCCATCAGTGCTCTACAACAGGCCTGTAAGTAGAACTTGTATGTTTTTCTACAAATATTCCAGTCCTCAAACGCACAGAAGATAACTGGCCAGCAAAGCCTGGGAGGCAAGATGCCAGGGGACCACGGGTACTGCTCAGACTTCTGCTGAAGAGGTCTCCTGATGGAAATTTTCCAATTTTTTCTCCAGTATGGATTGTGCACAGATTTGCTATTAAATACTATCCTAGAAAGATTCACAAAGGAGACATTCATAAGTTTCAGAGTTTTGCTTCATGAAAGGAAGGGTCATAAATACTGTTGCTGAACCGTTGATTTCACAGCAGCAATACTGGAAGTAAGAAGAAATGCATGCCATGGCTTTAATTGAACAAGTGCCCATGTCTTTAAGTTCCAGTCAAGCCAACAATGAGGCCTTGCTGAATTCGTAGCACTGTGGGAGAAAATTACAATCCATATGAAAATAACATTGCCCTAACTGTCATTAAGCAACTGCAGAAACCTGAGTAAACTGTTTACTTGCTTTTAAAAGCAGTTGCCAGTAAAAAAGCTCAACAAACCAGTGACTGTTGCGGTTTGAACCCAGCCAGCAGCCACTTGCTCGCTCTTCTCCACCCTGGAGGACAGTGATTTTGATTTCATAATGACTAACTACTATTCAGTACCAAGAATGACTGTAAGTTTCAAAGACATTTTTCAGTCAAGACACATCTTCTACACTATTAATAAAACCTTTCTGTACATTCTACAGCATCAGGCACACAAAGCAGCAGTATTTTGAGCTCATGCTGTGGATCCCTTCAAACTGAAAGACAATTTCTCCACTAATAGGAGACGGAAAACACATAAACACCTCACAGCTTTTGAAAAACTCAACCCATCTTTACAACTCACGAATGCTCCCCAAATCTTGAATTATTTAACTTGGATAGAGGATCTTGCAATCTCCTTATGGCTGTTGCTGACATTTATGCACATACGTCAACATCACTTTCAGTGCCAGAACGCTGGTATTTTGACAGTCTCTGTGCTCCCTGTTCTGCGTGTCTCAGTTTCAACATGCTTCAAGCTGCTCTTTTTTTTTCCCAGTGGAAGCAGAGCTCAGCCCTGCATATTCTGTGGTTGAGCGAAACAATTCCCAGGGAGACAGAGCACTGGAACGAGGATTACTTTTGCTGTTTGTCCTACAGGTCATGCACAAGTATGGCTGTGCAGACACTATCTATGGGCCTTTGCTCCAGTTACAAGAGGGGTTCTTACACTGCCTTCAGCCAGTTCTACATAGGAATCAAGTCGGTGACTTCAGGTAACTACCCCTTGCTTCTTACTGGCACAAAGCAAGAGATGCAGGCAGATGACATGTAAGTAGAAGATACCTTCAGGTCTAATCCAGTCACATACCCACACCTAACATACATCTGTTTTCACACCCTAGCACTAGCTGTTGAAGCGAATGCATGATCATTGGAGAGGGTCAGTCAGATCCATCTCCATGCAGGAGGAAGAGAATGGAATTGTTCTCATGTCCCTTTAGTTTCTTTTGAATTGTGAGCAGATGTGTCCCGTCGCACATACTCTACTCAAAAATCCCCATGGTAGAGGCCACACTACAAGACTGTACCCCGGGAAAAGAATCCTGTAGTGCTGGTGATGGGTTGGGCACTCTGGTAATTTACAGTCAAGTAATGGATGGTTTTCAGGGCATACTCTAGGCTTAAAGGCAGCGTATGAAGAAGACTTTCCAAGCCAATACATTTTCATGATTTCCAAACCTAGCTGAGTAACATGGATCTGATTACAGAAGCCCTTCGCATTAGCATGTGTCAGGTTAGCTAATGAAACAGCTTAATCTTTTCCTGCCTTCAGTGTCCTTTGCAAGACATGTTCAATGGGTACCCTTGGCCGCCTCCTTGTACATTCACATTCCTCCTTAAGTGTCTGTCCTGAAGCCCTTGAAGTCACCTTGAGCTCTTTCTCTTGACAAACATGACAACAAGCTGTAAGACCTTTGTTGCGACAACTTGGACATGTCAGGACAAGCTGCTGGCAGTGCTGACTGGAACAAAGTTTATACTGGTCCCACAGTGTCCCACAGTATCTGCATGCTGGAGGGAGGAGGAAAAGAAAAAGTTAACACCCACATTGCCCCATCTGTCCCCCTTGCAGAAGGTCCTCCGTGGCACCAGGGGGCTGCAATCTCTCATTTAAGTGGCTATCGTCTTCCACGTTATGAATTCCTGCTTTAGCTTGATCTTCTAGAACCTAGTTAATGTTTAAACTTCTCATTTTGATGTAAAAAACTTAGGATATCTGTCCCTCAGGAAAGGGAGAAAGTACTCAATAGTGCTTCCTCTAGTACAGATTAGTCAGATTTAAAGATTCTTGCTGCCAAGAGAAGAAAGATACGCTGCTGGTGGTAATTAAGCCAGTAGGCAGGAACATTGCCTGCTGGTGAGGGAGGTGCCATGGGACTTCCTTCCACCTGAAAGCAATGGCTTGTGCAGGTGGGGTGTCATTTGCACTCCCGGTAGTCTTTCTACACTATCAGACAGGTTTTAACCTGTTAACTGAAAGCTACAGCCTAGTTTAGCTGCACCATCAAGAAGGTGCCTACCCCAACGCTTCCCCTTGAAACTTCTGTAGGGATGGCTGTGATGTATCCAGAGCGTGTTCTGTTTCTACACTAAGTCAGGCACCTTCAAGATGTATACAGTAATTGCAGAGGAGGAATGGGAGGTTATGCTCAGAAAGTTACCCACTAAGAAAAAAAAACATCACTGTTTTCTAAAAGAGGCTAGAGCCAAATTCCATGTATTTGTACCTGGCAACTGAGAAGAAAACGTATTTCATTTGCAACACCTGAAGAGCGACCCCAGACAGAAGACCAAGCAATGTTCTCAACATCTTCAACTAGAGGTCACCAAAATTCTACAGGCTACTGAAACTTTTAAATCACGAAAATAACAAAGTGCTGGAGAGCTTAGTGCCACCACTCCCCGCATGCCTGGCAGGTTGTGCTGATGTTCTGTGAGATTACTGGAGCAGTAAAAGCTGACAGCAGAACTATTTAACACTGTGGTCACTTGGCCAACCACAGTCTGACCAGTACTGTGTGCAACAAGTGGGTAACAACAGCAGTAGTGCTTGACATCCATCTCCATGGCTGCAGATGGCCCGTAACAGCAGCTGTTCTGCAGAGGATGCTTCCTTTTACTACTCGAGTCTTAGGGAACTCTGTTTAGCGATCCCCTTTTTTCTCATTTCTGTTTTGCATTAAAACCATCAAATTGATAATCATCATGAAAAGCGACAGCACTGAAAGATCAAAGTGAGTATGAGGATGAACTACACAGACCAGTTTGGCTGCCCTATCCTGCACATCTCTGTGGAAACAATTGCAGTAGTTTCCCAGCCTTCTGCACTTACATTATCTAGTCCTACCTGAGATGATATCTTCATTGGAACAAATGGCGTAACGATCATCAAAGACAAACAGCTTCCCCCTGTAGAATCCATCTGGAAACTCTTCCAGGTACTTGTGAATTCCACCTTTTAGTTGGTAAACCTCTCTGCACACTGCCTGTTTAAAGCATATTAGCAGAAAAGCTGAAGGAGACAGCAGCAGTAGTGGTGTGCCAGAGTTCCCAAAGCAAATGTAAACACCAGGAGTCAACGAAAAGCAGCAGGTTCTCAGTGACCATCAGATAGCACCATGTGCACGCACAACTCTAGGCAGTACCACCAGGGATTACTGGGCAGCTACACAATGGTAGCTTGTATGACATGGACCCAAATGTGCATTTAATGTGAGTCAAAAAAAGGCTGGTAACACCCTCAGGTGAGGGAGGTTTGCTGCATCACAGATCAAATGCTTTTGAACCTTTGTGAACCACTGCTTACTCTGTTTTTTCATAGTGAGCTGTTAGCAGGAGCAGAATTTCTCAGTGTTCACATCAGTGCAGCGGAGAAAAAAATGCCGAGGTTTAAATCTCTGGAGAACATACATGTGTCATGTCCCCTGGCTCCTTGAGGGAAGGATCCAGGAGAAGAGTTGGATGGAAAGCACAACTAGAACAATGCAGTGTGCTGGATTTAATTCCACAACACTGGGAAAGCACTGACAGGCTGATTTTTACCACTCTTGAGATGTTCAAGCTATGCAGTAATCATCACAGAGCATAACCCAGACAGAGGTTGTGGAAATACTGCAGAGTGCTCTCAAGCCCTCCTAAAACACCGTTACAATGGCCAGGGCAGATTTACAAATACCTCTTCTCAGCAAATGGGGTACATAACTATTTTCACAGAGCAATCACTGCTGTGACACTAGTCCATGTAGATCATCCTGAGCTGCATTGAACTACCCACGTCTTTGACAGACAGCATGAAGCAAGTGTGCGTCAGAGACATTTATCTCCCCACCTGCTCACTGAGCAGTTTGTGCTCAGTGAGAATTTACCAGAAAAAGAAAAGACAGTTGCCCTTAAAGCAGTCTCAACTCCCCTCCACTTGTGCCCTCAGAATGACGTCTCACCTTGCTCCGTAGGTAAGCAGAGCCTCTTTCACAACGAATCCCTCCTGTGCAGTACATCAGAACACGCTTGTCTTTAAAAAGCTCCAAGTTTTCATCTATGTAGCTGGGAAAATAGCTGAACTTCCTGATATCTGGAGCCAGACAACCCTGGAAATGTCCCTGCAAAAACAAGAGATGGCCATGCGACTGGTTACAAGCAGTCTTACATGGTAAGGTCTGTGCCTTGAACTGCAGGAAGTAACAAACCTTTGGGCTAGAACGCTCAGCTCACTGCAGCTCCTTAGGCAGTTCCTCAGCTGCATTTATGCATCAAAATACCTGTTACAATCTGTAAAAGGATTCTGGATACAGCATGTCTCCCCATCCAAACATAAAAGAGGAAGCTAAGCAGAACAGAACTGTCAGAGAGAGGATGAGCCACAGCAGTGCAGGAGGGCTGGTGGTGTGACAGCAGGATGCCCCTATTCTTTTTGAAATACGGGACAAGGCAAAAATGCTGGAAAACATACTTACAAATTATGCTACTTTTACTTCAAACTATATGGTATTTACTGCTAATGTTGTATGGACCACTTTGTCTTCTTCCTATCACAAGCTGCATAAGCACTTAGCCTGGTAGGCTCCATGCTGAGTTGCTGAGCAGGTCCCCTGCTGCTTGTGTCTAATATTCATTGCTAAACTGAACTTTGTACATATTACAGTCCATAAGAATATGGAATCTCTTCTTCCAGTAAAGTTACACCCTCACAATGTGAAATGCTCCACTCCAGCACCTGTAGCACACTGCAAGAAGCAGGCAAACAACACTTACTATTTTACTTTCATAGAAGTTCCTACAGTCCAGCAAGATGGTATCACTTTGTCCTTGACTGGCTCGAGACAAATACTGTTCTACTTCTCTATGAAATTCCCGAGGGGATAAATGGATTCCTTTAACAAAAAAAAAAAAAAAAAAAAGAAAAAGGGGGAAAAAAGAAAAAAAAAAAAAAAAAGAGAAAGAAGTGAGAAGCAGAACTACAAAACAATGTTATATATGATCTCGGTCATCCAGATTCTCTTCAGATTTCCAAACAAAAATTTTCTGTGACAGTTCACAGACTTTTCATCCCAACTCAAACAGCCATGTTTATCCATGTTTGGCTTCCTATTGGCAAATGAAAGAAAACACAACACTGTTCCACATGACAGAAGCAGCAGCAGACAGGCGCCAGTCTCCATGATCTTTGTTATGTCCCCCTGGCAACTCTTACAGTTATAACAGAAAGAGTGAAAAATATTTCCCTTCCGTTTACTCATCTTTCATTACATTCGGAGGCACAGAAGCATACAGAAATGCAGCTTTTCAATTAAACTCTTTCCTGTGGATAAAAATGGAAAATTTCCGTAAGAATGTACGTAAAGTTTCTCAGCTTTCATGTTGCTCAGACTTAGGACTCCAAACCTACTGAAAACCACAAAACCTCCTGCACCAAAATCCCTTATCTGATTAAAAAATAACTCTACAAGAAACTTGCCAGAGTAATGGGAGCCATCTCCATAAAATGCTGTAAGATAGGAGGAAAAAGGAAAAAAAGGGAAGAAATACCCAAACATACATCCCAGAAACTGACAAACAATGGGGAGAAAAAAATCCTCTGCCAAAACCACAAAAAGATGCTGTAGAAATTTACCATCAACAAAACCTCTTGGTGGGGAAAAAAAAAAAAGCCCCAAATTGCTCTGTTAATTGCTATTTGCTGTGGTCTTGCTTACCACCAGCATAAGGGTCCTCACAGTAGGTGCATAACCAGTAACATCTTATCAGGCATAATCCATACTAAGCAGCTACAGGCAGCAGAAAACAAATGCAGATGCTGTTAGGGGAGTGACATGAACCTGATGCAGAACTTGGCTCTGCTTTAGTGTAAAAGGCAAGAACATGACTGTTAACTTCAACACAAGTAAAGCCAAGTCAGCAGTCACTAACATAGGAACATGTATGTACTCAACTGTGAGCTTCAGCAGGATTCTAGCATTTTCTAAAAAAGAGCTCTCAGCATCCACAGCACCAGAATCCACAAGAAGACTCCATGAAAAGCTCTTCCGGTACAGCTTGGTTCTTATCACAAGCTAACCACAAAGAAAGAGCATCAGAGCTCTTTATGTAGTATGATTTCTGAGCAGCCTCAAGCACCTACAGAGTATTTAGAACAAATATGAATATATTCATGCACTGAGGTCTCCTTCCTAACCATCATACACAGTTTCATCTTACATATGCCTTTATCAGGTGTCCAATGACTTACTCCCTGACTAAAGCACAAGGTATGTCTCTACCCCAAAACACGGTAAATACTTGATGTCATTTGAACTATTACTGTTTTCCACAGAACAGAATTCTAAAGTTCTCTGAGGCAGCAAAACACTTAGCAAACCAAAACCTGGGCCAACAAATTCCCAGCACCCATAACTTTTGACTACCAGCAAGAAATCAATTTCTGTACCTGCTTCACCTGTGCCCAAGGAAATGCTTTTGATGAAGGTACTTTTTATTCTTCACTTATCTCTCACTTGGGTGAAAGGCTTTATTTTTCATTAAGTCAACTTACCAGTTTCTTTGTAAGACACTATCTTTGGATCAATGCCCATAGGTACAATTTCTTTGAACACTCCAACTCGAAGGTCTGGGAAACAGTGAGCTCCTCCTGCACTGCTCTAGGAAATCAAACACAAAAACAATCCACCAAAATTTGTCAGGTGTCAAGACGTGTGACAGGAATGAAGTAGTTCATGGGCATGAAACAGACATATGGGAGGTCAGCCAGGCTCAAGATTTGTTAACAGTGGAGTCTGGACACACCCCACCACCCCAATCTCAAGCACCGGATTTCCCCTTTGGAGGTCCTGTCAAGCCTTTTTTTGGTAGGCAGCCCCACTGCAGGCAACAGGAAGTGAGAATTTCTGCAGGGCTGAGCTTCAAACATGGCTTAGGCACTATCAAGATATAAACACTCAAACAAAAGTGCAGTGTTGTGCAGCACTGTCCCAGCTATCATGGAAATCAGTCTGTAGCAACTACAGTGGCCATTGAATATTTCATAGTCCCAAGCACAATTTTCACTCCTCTACGCCCATGTCTTCATGGCACAGGGACCTGAAACTCCCACTTACTTGGCTATACAGCATGTAGGGCAACTGTGAGAAACAAAATACTATCATGTACTAATGCATGAATGTTGATGTTGATGCCCAAAGAGATCATGCAGGGTTAGAGATTTTGCCAAGGTCAAGGTAAAATTCCATCCCTGTTCTGTTTTTGCATTTACACATGGCTGTAGCTAACAGGTCACATTTACTATTGAAACTCAGCCAAGCACAACAGACAGACTGAATCAGCACTGCAGCTCTGCATGGGATTTGAGTTTCACTACCTCCTTTGATCTAGTTATTTCTGGGGGAAAAAAAAAAAAAAAAAAAAAAAAAAAAAAAGTAGTACTCCCTACAAATAAAACTGTGTGGAAAAGAAAAATGCTATAAAAGCGGCACCTTTCCTTCCTCACAGAGAAACCAGTACTTACAGTGCTGGGGCAGCAAAAGCCTACCAGAATGCCATACGGTGCCAGCCCCAGCTGCCACCACCAACTGAAGACAGCAATCAGCACATATGCTCAGGTTTACTCTCCCTCCAGTCAGGCGCTAACTGGAGTAGGGAGAAACCTCTTGACTCTGCCTGTGTATTCTGTCTAGAAGACATCCAATTCATGGAACTGACAATGCACCTACATGGACACGAAAGCCAGCATGAACCTAAACAAGGAGGCTTCCAGGCAAGGAACTCAAAATAGGGTGGAGAGTGTGGGAATAGTTCGCTTGGGTAAGTGTACATCGTGATGCCTTGGTATTGGCAGTCAAGTTGGAGTAAATGCTTGCTGAAGAACAGTGGGGCTGAAGCACACTCCCTCATTCACCTGTATGGTGGGCTTTGCAGCGGCACCCGTAGCTGCCAAAGCTTGTAGCAGCTGCTGTCACTGCTCATGATAACTGCAACTGCTGGTGAAAACTGGCAGAGATGCCTAAGCAAAGTAAGGTTAGGAACCTTTGGCTTAGATCAGTGCTGGGAGAGCAAAACTGCTAGAGCAGAAATAATACTATTAAGAAGCAACGTGCTTATTTCTTAAAAATTAAACGTCCTGCATCAACAACGTACATGTAGAAATTATTTTTCCGTACCTTGAAATCTTCTTGACACAAAATGTCTTTGAACAGAGGCTGCGAAAGCATAACTTCAATGTAGAGACTGGTAGCTACTTTGCTTCCACCAACTGTACCATTAATCCCTTCTGAAGCAATTCGTACCTAGAAGGCAAGAGGAAAAGCTGGAGCTAAGGCTTAGTAACAGAAAAAACAGATCACAGTGCAATCAGCAAAATATGACTGGTCGACAAAAGGCAGACACAGAAATATGTTCAGAAAAGAGACGACTTGAAGAAGGAAGGAAAAGATGGTTATACTGAAGTTGAACATAAAGAAGACAGTAAATAAAATAGGAATAAAAACCCAGTAATCATTTTTGAGCCATTCAAAAGAATGAGATCAAGTCAGTCAGGAAAGTTTGTGCAATAAACAGAGAAATGAGAACTGGTTAACCGGCAAATCCTGCAGTCAGCATTAAAATTCCCACTGGAAGTCTGCCTCAGGAAGAACAATGGGATTGTGCCCAATGACTCGCACAGCTAAAAGGAAAACGTGAATATGCATAATATGGTATGTAATATTAAGTTTCAGTGTGAGTCATTTATCTCCAGCACTGACAAATGAACAAAAACTCTGAAGTGGTGGGGGAGGGGAGAAAAAAAAAATTGAATAGAAAAGGAAAAAAACAACTGGCTGGGAAGAGATCTTACGTACCTGTCTTGGATACCAAAAAAAAAAAAAAAAAAAAAAAGTTGAGAAAAATACCAACTACCAGACAAGACAGCTGAGCCAAAAAAGAAGTAAATGCATCAGGGTATTTTGCCCCCAGACTTGTGCTAATGTAGAACAGGGAAGGTGCCTATCATTGGCAGGGAAGAAGCAGCTACTTAAGAAGACAAGTCAAAAAGCGGTCTCTCGCTCCGAGTTGCCCTCTTGAAAAATCCTTCTCCTCACGGATAGCCTAGGAACATTGGCTTTGCGGGGCTGTAATTCACCTTTGCCCACAGCCTCAAGAGACCAGCTAGATGAGCCAACTCACCTCCTTGGTCTAGTTGCCAGGAATGAAAAGAACAAAGACCCTGTGTAGGAATGAGCACTGCTATCCTATGGTGTGGTCTAAGGTGTCAATTGCTCTCGTCTCATTCCTGACAATATGGATTACAGCTGGGTGTAGTGATTGACTGGAAGGCCACTGCACATTGAGGAGTTGGTGATACACGTAATAGTTAACGGGAGCAAGCCCAGACCCATGCTTCATGGCGCTGCACCTCCAGCCTGGCCTTCAGGCTGTGTTGTGCTGCATGTATCCTTTAGCTGCAGGATAAACCCAGATTGATAATCCTAACAGAGAGGCCTGCATGCAGCTCCCTGTTGATACTAGTGATTATGCCACCTGCATGTCCTTGCTTTATCAAAAAGTGCGTCAAGAAGTTTTCGTGAAAATACCCTTTTTATTTGACAGTAGGAGTAATGAAAAGACTTGTTTTCCTGCTAAAAAAAAAAAAAAAAAAAATCCTTAACAGTTCGAATAATGGAAATGGAGTAAACTTTACAAGGACAGGGTCTGCACAATGTGCTGTGTGTGGATCAGAGGCTTGCTCAACACTGCTCAACTCAGGGTTTCCAGCATCAAAACGGATACATGTTTAATTACAATTTACAGAGTCTGAATGCCTTTCTTAATGGAATCATAACAGACTAGCACCTTATGGTGCAAAACACTTGGATCTCCACACACCCCATCGTTCTGCACTAAGCAAAGAAGGTGCTTTTTTTGTTAAGAATACCACCACTGCTTAAAACCTTACCTTGCCAGTGAGATGCAGATGCTGGCACAGAGCCTTTTGCCAAGCACAGAGTTTCTCTGGATCCTTCACCTCACAGTAACAGTAATAGAGAAGTACTTCTCCCACCTTGCTGTCCATAGCACGGCAACGATGAACAAATGGGAAAAGGGGTGTTAGGGTTGGAAGCACAAAAAATACAGTATCAGCAGTAACCATTCAAAAAGTACACCATTTTCTTCTGGCAGGTGCAGGGAAAAAGAACAAAACAACAAACAAACCGTGGAGACATTAGCACTGCTGGGTTTATTTCAAAGAGAACGAATATGAACTAAAAAACCCCCCTGCATTCCTAGTCTTAGGACTGATTAACAAAACGAACTTTTCAGTGCTGCATGTGACACCTCTACCAGTAGCCTACTATGGGCTATATTCAAGTTTCTCTCAACACACAGGACACAAGAACTGCTGTTTTCCGTGCACGCAAGTATCTCATTAAATGCTTAATTTGACAAACTCGCACTTGAAAAGTCAAGTGCTTGAGCTGTCTAACAGTAAAGAGCCAAAATTTTCAGAGAAATTGTGTGCACCACCATTCAGAGCAGCACAAGCTGAACTCTCTCGCGGTCAGAAACATTTTCACAAACCTATTCGTAACTAACGAGCCCTTAAGGTTCTTGAATGAGCGGAGAAAAGGGACCTGCGCAGAGCACACCCTGTTGTTCCGCTCTTTTCTGGTACAGTCCTTCCTTATACCTCTAAGCCACTGAGCAACACCTACACGTCTGCCTTAAGAATGCAGGGCAATATAGCTCTGACAGCTCAATCCTCCCAAGTTCCCACCTTTATGATCAGAAAAGTGGAGCGTATCTACTTCTTTATCAGCACAGCAGTAATTGGCACGCTTCGTAGAGTCGTGAGACAGTTGTGAAAGAGAATCAAATAAACCAAGTGACTCCTGGAGTGTACCTGCACCCGCTGGTCCAGAGAGGGATCTCAGGAAGGTGTCCAGACCGTCCGGAGAGCTAAAGGAGTATCAGGGAAGGCTGCTTCTACGCCTGAAAGCGTCACTCGAAAGCCCGAGCTCCGTGAAAAGAGAAAGCATCACCGGCAAAAGATCACGCAAAGCGTCAGCAGCCCGACAGCCCCGCTCCCGGCCCTCCAAACTGCCGAGGGGCTCCCTTACCTCGTCAGGTCGTCGTGGCTGATGTGGCTGGTGTCCGGGAGGGCGGCGGAGAGCTCCGGGCCGCTGCGAGAGTGCCGGCGCGGCCCGCCCGCGCCGCCTGCGGCCCGGGGGGGGCTGGCTTCGGCGGCGGCCTGCCGCCCGATGTCCCCGGCGTGCTGCAGGGCCACATGCCGGTGGATGCCGGAGAGCTCCTCGAACGCCTGCCGGCAGCACCGCCACCGCACGCCCTCCCCGCCCGCGGGGCACCGGGCTGCGGCCGGCACCTCCTTCGCCTTGACGAACAGGGAGAACGCCTGCAACGCACCGCAAAGCGCCGCCGGTTAGCACCGCTCCCGCCGCCCGCGGCGGGGGGGGGGGGGGGTTGCCCGGCACCGACCCACCTTCCTGCGGGCGAAGGCGCGCTGCTTCCTGGCCGCGCCCGCCTCCGGCAGCCCGGCGCCGGACGCCTCGCTCGGCACCATCTCGGACCGGCCTCCCCCCCCCGCTTCCCGCCGCCCCGGAAGTCCGCCGGGAAGGACTTCCTCCCCCCCCCAGCCCGCCCGGCGCGGCGGGGCCACCGCTTGACCCGGAAGCAGAGCGGCGGCGGCGGGCTGGCAGCGGGCGGCGAGGCGCGCCGCGCTCCCCGCCTGGCCCCCACCGAGCGACCCCGCGCCCCTCCCCGCCTCCCGACATGTCGCGGCGGCGGCACAGCGACGACAGCGATGGTGTGTGTGTGTGTGTGTGTGTGTGTGTGTGTGGGCCGGGCCGGGCCGGGCCGTGTGCGGGGACGGGGTGGGGGGAGAGGGATCGGGGAACGGGACCCTCCGCCGGTAACGGTGTGCTCGGTGTGTCGGAGCAGGGCAGCCCCACAAGAGGCGGAGGACGTCGGAGCCGTCGGAGATCGAGGAGAGGCTCGAGTCGCTCATCTGCAGGGTGGGAGAGAAGGTAGGCGGTCGCGGCAGCCCCAGAGGGTTAAAGCGGTTTTCTTCCCCCTCTCCCCCCACCCCTTCCTGTGCGTGGCGCGTTAGCGGTTCGTCTGCAGTAACGACCCAAAAAGAAAACATTTTATTTTTTTTTTAGTTAACGAGGTAAGTGCGAAGTGGCCAGCTTTTGCAAAACGACATGCTAAAGCGGTCAAGTGCTTAACTAGCAGCGTTTTATCTCCTCAGCAGTGATAAACGGCCAGCGGATAGTTATCGCTCCGTGTCTGCAGGTGCTGCTGCTGGTTCCAGCCTGGGAAGGGTGTGGAGGTGTTAACCCTGCGGCACAGGCTCCAAGGCCTGGCAGGGTTTGAGGCCGACAGAAAAGGGGTGTAAAATAATAAGAACAAAAAAGGGTGGCGGGCTGAGAAAGAAATAGCGAAGGTGTTTCATGCTGTATGGCTAACCAGGGCTCAGCTGCCTTAACGAGATGTCCCTGAGGCAGCGTCAGAGCTTGTGTCCCCGGGGAGCACTGGGGCTCCCAGCAGGGCAGGTGGGTGTTCAGCCACAGCTCCTCTGAGGAGTCGATGCTGCTTCTTTCGGGCAAGTGAGAGCATTTCCTTACTGCTAGTGGAACCGAGTTGTTGATCTGAAAAAGGAGGTGACAATGCTCTTGCCGAACTTCCATCTTCCATGTGAGAGTCAGGGTCTGGTTTGTATTGCCTGATTGATGATCAAACTTCTTTTTTTTTTTTTTTTTTAATTTTAGAGTAACTCATCCTTGGAGAGCAACTTGGAGGGCCTAGCAGGTGTTTTGGAAGCTGATCTGCCAAATTACAAAAGCAAGATACTAAGAATACTATGTACTGTGTACGTATTCAGGAGGCCTGGGAATCTGGGAGGTGCTGTCTTTTCTGTGCATAAGTTTAAATGTTTAAGGTAGTTCGAATGCCGAGAATGGCTTTAGTTTGTGAGTGCTGTTATAGCATAGGGTTTGCTTTATTACAAACAAAATAAATAGAGGAATAAGCTTAATACATACTAGGTATAATTCAAGGAAAATACCTCTTCTACATTACTTTGACTTGAAGTGTGTACAAAGGCTCAAAGCATATAGAAGAAACCTCAGAGCAATGAAACATCAGTAGCAATGAGAACACAGCGATGCTGGGCAATATCCTGTTTCCCAATTAAATGCTTAAGAGCACTGAAGCTATTGGCAGCTAACACTTGTTTAGTCTTATTATCTGTGGTGTTTTCTCTCTGCCTGTTCCTCTTCTCTGGCAATGAGATGCTTGTGTCTTTGTTAGACCATTCACTAAGGGAGGGGAGCAGGGAATGTGAAGAGCTGAAAGCAGCCTCTCCAGTGGCTCACAGCTCTCCTTCCTCTCCCCAGCCAAGAGCACCAGCAGAAGTGTCCTGTCTCAGGGTCACTGAGGGGTGTCTGAGGGAGGGCTTGTGCAGGGCCTGCAGCAGTCGGTAACAGGTGTGAAGGAGTGGTGTGGTGAAGAGGGAGAGTGTTCCAGCCCTAGCCTGTGCTATGGTTTTGCAGATACTTAAATCTATTTTGTGGCAATGTTTGTTAATATAAGGCAAATAGTACTTTTTTTTTTTTTTTTTTTTCCTGTAGCAGTAAAACCGTTCTGAAAGTACAGGGTTAGCTTACAGACATATAAGAATGGCTGAGAAAAAATAATTCTTTACAGTAGGACCTGGCCTTCCCTATGCTGTGCTTAAAATCAGTCTGACTTGAGAAACTTGGTATCAAAATTAATAGCATAAAATGTGTATGCCGTATGCCTCTTGTGTAATCTTGCTGATGCTATATCAAAATTATTTCTAAATTATGAACTTAAGACAACTTCTTACATCCATGCATAAATTCTGTCACTTATTATTTAGTCAACCCTCTGGCCTATTCAGCAGTTGCATACAAGTAAAAAGCAAATACCTTAAATGTGTTTGAGAGTGGCATCTGCCTTTCTAAATGACTGTAGTTATAAAAAAAAAAAAGTCATAAAATATTAACCACGGGATGGAAGTGTGAGATCACGCTTGCACTTTTTTCTTATTTTCTCGTGAGACAAGTTTAATGTACAATATCCAGATTCTAAGACGCCATGCAGTTGCCAATTGGCACGTGATGAATAAACAACTAACACCATGTTTCTTTCTCTGTGTTAGTGCACGTCTGCTACCAGAAAAGCTTACTGTTTACACGACACTGGTCGGGTTATTGAATGCCAGGAACTACAATTTTGGTGGGGAATTTGTGGAAGCCATGATTCGTCAGCTTAAAGAATGTCTGAAAGTCAATATGTATAATGAAGCTGTGCATTTAGTAAGTGTTTTTTTGTTTGTTTTACATTTTTCCTCATCCCTTTTTCTCTCCTTTCACCTTTTTGTTACAGAATAGCTGGGCCATTCATGTGTGTATTACAGTCTCTTGGCATCAACGTGCAGTGCACTGTAGATATTCCAAGAGGAAATGTATGTTATGTGAAAAGTATTTTCTTCCTCAGGGGAGAGAAATCGTATTACAGTTGCAAAATTGACTTCCAACTCTGTATTTTCTCAGTGATATATTAATTTGCAGTAAACAGAGATGTTCCCCCCTCAACCTGTTCTACAGTCAAATGTAAAAGATAGATGAAAGTCATGTACTTCTGTAGCGTTCAGAGGTGTATGATCTTGTGGCTTCCAGGGGAAAAAACAAAACAAAACAAACCTGGAAAGAAAATGAACAGTCTAATTCTTAAAATCTACTTTTGATGGCTGTTATCAGGTCTGTGTTTTCATTCTGCTTGTAATGGATGAAGATCAAACAGGCAGTTTTAAGTGCCATCTGTTTTTGAAACCATTTGCCCAGCTCTTGGTGCCTACGGTTTTTGCCGGCAAAAAAAGTATTAGGACATCAGCAGTGTCTGATTTTAAAGCTCAATGCCAAGTTCCGCAGCTTCTTTTGAAGCGCACTGGTGAAAACTAAGATTCTGGTATTTCAGTGTAATTTGCCAAGAGACTGCTGTTCAACTACGTGACACTTTTGCGAGTAAAATCCTCATTAGAACTCTGAATGTGCTGTCTTTTGGCTTGAGCTTCACCTTTTCTGGTCATGCTCATATACAGAGGACTTGTGAGAGTAACAACTAAGGGAGTGGCAGTGGAAGTCTTTCATCAACTTTGTCAAAGACTTTTCAGAGTAATGAATAACCAGGAAGTAAGAGTTTGGTACTTTTCTCCTCTCCACTGCAGTTCCTCTTTGGGTACTGAACTAGCTGCTTAACCCAAATTGCTTTCCCAAGTCTTCTTCCAAATGATATGCCTTCAGATCAAAATACTTGTGTTGGGCTTTTTTTGTACTACTATTTGTGAATGAGGCCTTAAGAAAAAATAAGCCTTTAAGAAAAAAATCCATGAGATTTGACTTGCTAGAATTTCATCCCATATTGTCTGTTAAGATTGTGATTATACAGAGAGGGCTTGGGTCCTGCTGCGGCCATGTTTAAGTCTGAAAGCAGCATACAAATCAAAAGAGAGGGGAGAGCAAAAAAAAAAGGGTACCACCCTCTCCCAGATGTTTTCTACTTCACATTTCTGTCAGTTTTTATTTCATACTAGAGTGCAGTCAAATCAAAGATGTATTCCTGCTGTGGAGACTTTTTTCTTCCCAGGCAGATAAGGCCACTTGATTCCCAGCACATCATCAGCTTGTCACATTTCTGAAACCTGAAAATGCCAGCAGTTTTTACATGGGCTCTCTGCGTAACTATCTGTATTTATGAATAAATAATTATAGAAATTAATTGTGTATAGTGGCATACAAATTCAGCACTGCTGTTTCCTGATGTACATCTGGACTCAAAGCAATGGATCAGGCCATCTTCAGCTTTTAGGAAGTTTTTTTCCTTCCACTTCTGTAATTTTAGTGATCTGATACCATTTACAGTAGATAGAAGCACAAGTGGTTTTTTTGTCAGTTTGCATGTCTTTGAATGCATACTGGTGTTTCCTACCCCTCCTTAATTTGAAATACTATCCTTGCAATGTTATTGCAGTGGAACAGACTACAGACATTATGATCAATAATACGTTAGGCAGCATTAATGGTGCTTGTTTTCGACAGTGGAAAGGTGGGTCTGTACAGTGTGTGGGATTTTTGCCTTCATAGTACTGAATGTGTATAGTACTCTCATTGATAGTTTGTTTTAGTTGTTTAAGTAGTGTTTATTTGTTCTTGTGTCAGTTTAGAAAGTATTAATTTAAAACATTTTTTTTGGTCTTTTTAGGTTCGTTTTCTGTCTGACCTTGTGAATTGTCATGTAATAGCTGCACCGTCAATGGTAGCTATGTTTGAGAACTTTGTGAGTGTGACACAGGAGGAAGACGTACCTCAAGTAAGCAGAAGATCTATCTGTAGGCTCCTCAAGTGCTGTTTTCACAATTTTTCTGTACCGTTGCTTCTGTATTTATTCTTAGAACAGGGAAGTTCTAGAGAGAGCAGTCTAAATGGACTGTCATGTGCAGTTTCCTTAGCACGAGTAAAAGGAGCCTGTGACAGAAAATACATGCCTACAGTAAGAAAGTATGTTCCTTCATATTGAGGTAGCTGGAGTGAATTTATTTTACTTTGGTAAGTGAGTAGTGCGTGGCGTGTGCTGCTGTATTGATAATCTGCAGAAGGGCTGTGAAAGTGATACCATTTTTTAAGTCTGCTTGTCACAGTTCAAGTTAGAAATTATACATCTCAAGCAAGAATATATTTTTTCATGGCTTGCCAATCCAGTCTTTAACTGCTGGTCTTTACATCCTGCCAAAATAATAGTTTTGCTGATGTTTTAAATTAAAATGGGGGGTGTGTACAAAATCTTTTGGAGCTTACTTGTATGCTTATATTCCTTTCCTGTAGGTTCGTTGTGACTGGTATATGTTTGCATTTCTGTCGTCTTTGCCTTGGGTTGGAAAGGAGTTGTATGAGAAGAAGGATGCTGAAATAGATCGTCTTTTGTCTCAGACAGAAAGCTATTTGAAGTAAGTTGTAACCTGTTAAAAATACTCCTATTGGTATCTATTCAAGTATGGATTAATAGCTTTGATTATTGCTCACTTAAAAGTATTCTAAAGTCTTAGGTCTGAGCCATTCTGCAGGGAAGAAAAACCTTGAAAATAGAATAGGTGGAGAGATTTTTGAACTTGAAAAGTTTTATTGTCTTGTCTGGTTCTTGGGTATGTTGAAGATCGTACTCTCCTCATGCTGGAGCAGCTCCAGTTTTAAGTGTGCTGTGAATACTGATAGGTTGTTGCTTTAGTGCTCTGCAGTGTGACTGCTTCTTTCTCTCTAGGTGCTTCGTCAAGATATGGTAATAGAGGTATTTTAAGTAATCACGAACCTGTTTTTTATATACTGTAGACTTCATCAGCTGAAGAGATCAAATATTAGTACACTTGCAATAAAAAAATTGCTGCCCTAAATTAGTCTTTTAAAGGTCAGCTTTTCTTTCCTGTGTAACCAGACGCCGCCAGAAAATTCATGTACCTATGCTGCAAGTTTGGACAGCTGATAAACCACATCCGCAAGAAGAGGTGAGTGGACTTAACATTTCATTCTTTCTGAAAGTTTGAAAACCAATTTTTTACTAAGGTGTTCTTTTATCATTAAATTAAAAGACATCTCTAAAAGTATTAATGCTTTGAATTGTCTCCTGTTTGTTATTAATTATAACACGTTCTGTGTGAAGAATTATCTTCAAAGTCTTGGACCTAGGTATAAGGTTGTATGGGGTGAGTTAGAGGGTGTTTTCTTGTTTGCTGATAGGCCCCTGAGGAAACGCTTTGGAGTAAGGAATGGTTGTAAATTGTAGTATTTGTTTTGGAATTGCAGGTACAGGGCTTCATGTTAAAATAACCTTTGTGAGAAGCAGAATGTAATTCCATACTTATCCCTTAATGTTTTCCATCTGCAACAAAGAAACTTTTGCAGTGGCTTTGCTTTCTCAGCTCTAGGAAGTGCTAAACAAGTATGTAGAAACTGTATGCAGAAATTACCTTTACGTCTTTCACAATTAAGCCAAAAATACTGGAGGGAAGAGGTGGCATCTGGCTAGTTTGGGATGGAATTTGCCTCTTCAGATATTCTTGGAGTTTTTTCTTTCCCATAAGTTCGAAGACAAATTTAGTTGGAAAGATCTAAACATCTTCTGGGAAGTTTTGGAACATGGCCCTCTTACATCTTGTTCACTGTTCTGATTAAATCACAGTCTTAACAATTGCATTGTTAATCATAATTTGGAGGGATAGACTGTCTGATTATGACTGATTTGTCAACGCAAGTATTGTGCCTGCCCAGTATCTGAATTTGCTTATTTAGATAAACAGAGGAGAGATTAGCAGATTGCGTTTGAGACCATGTGTTACCCAGAGTACCACAAACATGACTGTTCACTTCAGGGGCTAGTTGTTCCTAAGTGTTTTGTTCCCATTTTGTACTGTGATAATTTCACTAAACGCAAAGCATTTCCATGTAAAGACATTTCTTTCACCACTTACAACTTGAAACTTACGTTCAGTAAGACCACAGGCCTCCAGAGTTATTGGACTGCTTTTAGCAAGAGAGTAATTAAACAAAGCAAGACTACTGCCAGTTGCACAGGTGTCTGTGCCATCTCTGTGAGAGTGCTGGGACTTAGAATTGCGTTGAAAACCGTGGCAGAGGTATTTGATGTTTGTATTGTATTTGTATTTGTCTTGAATATGCAGGAGCTGGTAGCTTTGATTGCTTTGGGAACAGCAGGGCAGTCCATTGGAATGTCTTTCCAATTTTAATGACAGATATTATGTATGTTTTAATACCACCAATGAGCAGTAATTTGAAGTAATGTTCACTGCTGTAATTTTGCTGGCAAATTTGAAAGACGCTCGTCATGCTCAGACTCCTGGGCTGCCTGTTGGTGTCTAGAAATTTTACTGACACAATGTTGTGTGGAATTAGGAGCTCTGGTGTTTAGAGTTCTGAAATTCTTTCTTGGTTTACTGAATCAGCACTTTAAAAGACTCTCTGGGTTTTTTTCTGAATGGAATATGGAATTTAAGAAGTACTTTTCTGATAGTTCTGGGAGCTGCCAGCTTTGTTACAAGATTCAGCGCATGTGATGTTTCTCGTCTTTCTCCTTTTCCTTCAGTATTTAGACTGCCTTTGGTCTCAGATTCAGAAGTTGAAAAAAGACCGCTGGCAAGAACGACACATTCTGAGGCCCTACTTAGCTTTTGACAGCATTCTTTGTGAAGCACTGCAACACAATCTGCCTCCGTTCACTCCACCACCTCACACCGAAGATTCAGTGTACCCGATGCCAAGGGTTATTTTTAGGATGTTTGACTACACAGATGACCCTGAGGTATGTGATTGCTCTGGGGGATGGTGAGTGGATTTCACAGTTAGGTTCCCAGGGCAATATTGGTCAAAATGTCTTGTCTCCTCCCCCAGGATAGTGAGTGGTTTGGAGACGAGCCGCAGCTCTGCTGTGGTATTTCTGCAGAAATAAAATAAGTGACCAAGTTACTGTACAAAGCAATTCTATGAGGAGCAAAATGTAGTGAGTGAGACGCTGTGATGCTTTCATTTAGAATTACAGTGTTGACTGAACTTTCTAATGTCTCTAGTAAAACTACATTCACAGAGTTAGACTTTTTTTTCCATAACGTTGGTGACTTGAGTCTTTTTCCAGGCTGGGTGTTGTAATGTTTAAAGACTGTTGTTTACTCATCTGTTAAAATTTGTTGATGCATATTGTAGAACAAATTAGTGCTTAAGTGGGGTGGGTGAAATATCCGTTTATCTCATCAGTCTGCTTTCAGCATTGGTCAATGTCAGGTGTAAAGATAAAAGTATATAGGAATAGGAAAAGTATATATGCTGCTTTCCCTGAGTGCTTTTATACCTCCATTTGCTTTAAGTTGGCTGCCTTTTACTTTCATCTTTTGGTCCCTGGTTTTTGCAGTGAAAGAGATCATGACTCTCTATTCTTTCCACTCTATCCTGGCCACTCTTGGCTTTATTTCTTTATCATATTCCAGCTCAACTGTGATTTTTTTTTTTTTTCCAGGCTGCATGGTGGTAGCCTGCCTGATGGGAAGAAGCAGAATCTCCATGAACTTATAATAATGTTCTCTAATTTTGTTCCCATTTCTTTTTGCAATGAGTCCTAGTATTCATTTTGTTTTAAACATTGATCTGGGGTTTGTGTGGAACTCTCACACCAGCTTTTCAATCCTGAAGGATACAGGGCAGCTGAGATCTCACTGTGTTTATGTGGAAGTTGGACTATTTTTTCCACCTGTATGTAGGATAGCTTGCTACCTCTAGTGCCACTCCATTAACAGTGATCTTTCATGAGTCTTAATTCTTTCTTACCAGGGCCCTGTCATGCCTGGCAGCCACTCTGTTGAACGATTTGTAATAGAAGAGAACCTTCACTGCATCATCAAATCCCACTGGAAAGAGAGAAAGACTTGGTAGGAAGACCTTAGCACTACAGGGGCCTGGTGCTTTTTATGTGCTACGATGGCTTTGGTGCCATCAGGGATATGCACTGGTTAGAAACATTTCCTAGAGCATTTGATGAAGCTTGATTTACTACATCTAACTATGTCAAAACTGTTGCCTGGAATACTGTGAGTCTGTAATATCCAGGTAATGGAGAGTCTGTATGATCCAGGGAGAAAGTGGCTCCTTGGGAAGGGAGTTCCTTGGTAATAACCTTATTCTTCATGGAAGCACTGTGGAGAGTGTGATTGTGTAATGCTTCCTGGAATTTTGAATTAGCTGATTTGCTGGGACACAGTGAGCCTTGAGCTGGTTCATGTGCTGACTGCACACTGGAGTTCATGAACACACTTTTACTTCCGACTCCTTGCTACGTTCCCGCTTTGGGATTACATGGCAGAGATAATTGTTCTCGCTCTGGGGAGTCATTCCAGGGACAGCAGATTTCATTAGTTGGAATTCAGCCATGCCAGGAAGCAGTCAGGCTACTTCACTTCCGCCTGAGCTTTATCTATCTGATGTGCATAATTGATAACTAAGATGGTTTGTGACAGGTAATTGGCTGTGTCATGCTTCCAAATGAAAACCACCAAGATTTGTGTAGTATGGAAACAGTCAGAAACAATGTTTTTGGTGATGGCATGGAATGAAGTTTTTTGGTTGCAGCTGTTTGATTCAGCAGAAACTAGAAATTCAGGATTATTGCAGTTGCTGGGATAGTCTTTGTTAATTCTCAGAGGAAGGTAAAAGACTAGAGGGAGATGCAGGATGTGCCAGAGGTAGAAATAAAATCAAGGAAATAGCAGCCGTTTGCTTTGTAATGATAGGTGATAATGAGCTGATTAAAAAATGAGCATTAAAAGGTGAAGAGTTTCTTATATAACCCATTAGCTTTATTGTGCTTTCAAGTCATTCTGAACATCTGTTGTTTGGAGATTTTTTTTTTTCCTTTTCATATATGCATGCCAGAATTACAGGTCATAATGACTATTTATGCAAAACTGTATTGTGTAGCAGTGTAGTGTTCAAGTGATGTAACTACATGGACATAAAATATAACAATACCAGTCATAGGCAATTTTAGGCAGTGCTGGTGTGTTCTTGCGCTTTTTCTGTTTTTAAATGTTCTGTGGATTGATGGACAGACTTGGGAAGGATTGTTGATGGATTTGTGATCCTTTTGTGTGAACTCTTGCTGAGAATTAAGCATTTTCTGTAACTTTGTCGCTTGATCTTTACATCACATTTGCTGTGTTACGTTCTGAACTAAATGTATGTATGGTTTTGCAGTGCTGCACAGCTGTTGAGCTATCCAGGAAATAACAAGATCCCCTTGAACTACCACATAGTAGAGGTATGGATTTTATAGGTAACCTCTTATGTAACTGTTATTTCATGAGTAACATGGACCCATCATGGAATTAACTGGAACATTAAATTGCAGCTTAATTTGGCAGTCAACCATAACCTGGCTGAATTCAACCAATGGCTTTTAAATGAGTGGGTTATGTACAATTGACTGTTAGTTTTAATGCTTTTTGTTGTCCTTTTAACTTGGTGCATGGGAGCTTTGGTCAAGTACCAAAATTTCTTAGTGCACTAGTAATCCAGGTTGTGACACTTCTCAAACTTTTAAAGTTTACATATGATGCTTCTAATGTATCACAGTCTAAGAGATGGCTACATTTGGGTCAGTTTTAATTTTTTTTTTTTTTTTTTAACTAATATACAGGAGGAAATGGACACAAATTGAAGTACAAGAAACTCTATTTAAACATAAGAAAAATCTTTTTTATTGCAAAAGTGAAAAACTGGAAGAGTTTGCACAAAGAATTTGTGGAGTCTCTATCCTTAGAGAAGTTAAAAATCTAACAGGACACAGCCCTGAGCAACCTGCTCTGGGTGACCCTACCTTATGCGTGGGGCTTTAGGCTAGATGATCTCCAGCCAGATTCAGCCATTCTGTGTGATTTTGTGCTTCTAAATTATTTTGTTCTACTGGCCCTGAAAAGAACTTGCAATGAAGTACCAGTGTGTTTCCTCCGGGGCACCGTCCATATTAGAGAATTTTAAATAACTGCAATGTATATTAGAAGAACAGCATAGGTTTTCTTTTGCTGCCTCCTTTCAAGGGTCTGTTTTCAAGATGCAGAGCTGTATAAAACTTGTTTAATTTCCATCAAAAGTTGAAAGGGATTAAGAGATTTTAGTAAGAATGGCAGCTTCTTCATATAAAGGCTTTATGAAGAAGTAACTATAAATAGGAATTTCAGAGCTAATTATAACAAGAAATAATTTTGTGTAGAAGATTTATCTTAATAAAAGTGGGATTGAGAGTTCCTCTTGGCACCAAAATGCCAAATTTTCTGAATGCGGTAAAGTTATTTGGTCAGCTTGTTCTTTTTGTACTCTGAATTCAGAAGAGAGGAATTTTAAAGGTAAAAATGTCCTGCCTTAACCTGGAAGTATCTTCGGTGGTCTTATCTTCAGTATCTTCAGATGCAGTGTATGGCTGTGTGCTTTATGCTCAGCTGAACACTAATACCAACAAATAATTACTGCAATTCCAGATGAAATAGGTTACCTAAAGTCCCTGGGAATTCTTTGATTCAGAAACTTGTAGTATATGAAAATAGCAAATGTTTGCATTGATGAAACTACTGGAAAGAAGTGCATGATTGATGTACATATTCTTTGCCTATTACTGTGATAATTTTATTTTTCTTGCAATTTTGAGTTATTTTAGAATATTAACTTCATTACTTGTCTATGACTGCTTACTTTTAATAAAGCTCCAGAGTTTTTAAGGCTTAGCATGCTTTTTACCAGGCTTCTCTTCATTCTGCTTACTACTCCCTTGTAAGGTCTCTTAACAGTCCAGTTGGTGATACATTGCCTTCAATGACAGTTTGATCTGTGAAATTCCACTAACTTTTTCGGTTAAGTGACAGAACTGTAGAAATAACATGGTCTAACAAATAAAGGAAAGTGTTATTTAAGGTTCAGAACATAAGTTAGCGCAGAAGTAAATACAGCTTGAAAGTGGTTGTCAGTACCTTCCCAAGTATGCCTCCTTTTGAGGTCCCTGAGGCTTCATGTCATAGCTTGTCACGCTGAGCACAGAATGCTCCATGGTACCTGGAATCTCTGCAAAACACTGGAATGTGGTGCCTTTCTCTCAGTAGCTCATTATAGATATGTATGTGGATATTTCTGGTAGCTGTGAGAATATCTGAGCAGCATCACTGGCTTGGACTGCTACGCCCTGTTGTGCTCCTACAGCTTTTGGTACAATTTACACTTGATGGAGTTGGAATGTTGATTGTCAGTGGCCTTGTTGTTTTCACAATGTGTGGTATGCGAGTTTGAAACACTTAAATCTGAATGTTTGATATTGAACATGTGATGAATATTGCAAATACAGTTTTATGCAGTATCTCAAACAGGTAATGACTGATCATCCAGCTGTCATTTCCCATCTTGAGAAAAGGAGCATTTTTCTACCTGACAAGGGTCCCCCATGCCTTTTTGCCAAATCTGTCTTAAAAGCATGTCCAAATTATACTGTCATGGAAAGGTTCTCCAGCTCCTTATAGTCTCTTCATGCTTTCAAGTCCTTCCTTAGAATAACAAGCTCTAGTCAGTGTGTTTTCATGTGATGTTTGTGGCGTCTATAAATTAATGTTGATTTCTTACACTAGTAAGACAGTTTTCTAATGCTTAATCATTTCAGCTTCAATTCTTCCGTGTTTATTCAGTAGTTTAAAGAGGAAACTGACCAACCATAATGAAACAAAGTTTCCTGATTCCTTTGATGTAATTTAAATCTAGATGAGAATGGCATGCAAAATGTCAGAAACTGAGATGAATGTTGTACAATGATGATCTTTTTGTAACCCTCAAAGATTGACATGCTGTTAGTGTAGGCAAACTTGAAAATGAAAACATGAATGCTGCAGGATTGTTTTCAGTTTTCTTAGAAGGATGCTCTGCTGAGGGTTACTGAGCATATATTTTTGTTGTATGAAATGCTGGTTGTAATTTTCAGTTGAAAGTTGTGGCTTTATTTAAGTAAGTTTTTGTATAGGAGAAAAGAGGAACTTGATGGAAAAGATACAGATATAATTTTAATGCAAATAGTCTTTCATACTAAATGCTTAGGCTTCATTTAATATGTTTATGTTTATCATTAAACAGGACCAGATGATTTCTGCTTTTCTCAAATTGTGTTGTAGCATTGCAGTAGGTCATATTATAACTATGCCCATTTCTACAGTTACGTGATGTATTTGTTAGACATAATAGACGTATAATGTTGGTGTTGTGTTAGTATGAAATGATAAGAGCAGTTAGAGTAGACTGTATCAGTACTGTGTAGGGCTACCACTGTCTTTATAAGTTTCTCTCTCTTTTCCTTGGAAACTTGATTTGACAGAATAACATGGGCCTTTTTGGATATGTAATTGTTTAAGATTGATGGCCCCTATCGAGAGGCTGAGGGTTGTGTAGGCCACGTCGGACTGTGCTCTGATTGTGTGCCTTCCTCTTGCACAGGTAATTTTTGCAGAATTGTTCCAGCTTCCATCTCCACCACACATTGAAGTCATGTACACAACGCTCCTGATTGAACTGTGCAAACTTCAGCCTGGCTCCTTACCACAAGTTGTATCCTTTCCGCACTGCTGAAGAGTGTTTACAAAATGCAGTCTTTATTTTGTTTGTTCTGTAGATGATGGGATAGCAATAAATACTGGCAGTATTAATATTTTACAGCAGCTGCATGAAACTTTGCCTGTAATACTCGCATGAAAGAATAGCACAGCTCACTTAGTACAGGTCTAGATTTGCCAAGTGGGCAAGACTCTTCAGCTTTCTGGACAATGTTCTGGTACTTCATCTGAACTTCCCAAGAATGGCTGTCTTGATGAGGGGTTAAAATACAGTGCTTCTGTTTGTCACTGCAGCCTGTTTAAATCTGAACAATGTGTGGCATGGTCACAGGCACGTTAAAGTCTGAGAAGGAAAGGAAGTTGCAGGCTTGATCTTTTGTTCTCACAACTGTGTGAATGCCCCTACACTTTTTTTAGTAGGAAGTGTAGCGGATGACTGAAAGGAACTCGCCTGAGTCCCCACTCAGTGGTCCCACTAGGAGCATTCAAAAGGTCAGTAATCATCTGTCTGCTCAGACAGGGTGGCTGAATGCCAAAGGAGGAGGCATGACTCCCAGCTAATTCTGGCTATTACATTGCCCCTACTTTGCTGCCATTTTAGATCATTTAGTTCATTGTTTTAGATCAAGCTACAGACTGAGAATGGAGGAGAGTTAACAGGTATCTATCCACTCATAATTTCATGCCTAAATTTTCACTCTATTTCATGACACTACTCACTGTTTGCAAATCATACTATCCCAATGATTAGAGCCAAGTCTATTTCTAGAATTAGGCAGACATCCATGCAGAAAGTTTTTAATGTTAATAGAGACACTGTAAGAAGGATAAAGGCCTTACTGGGTAAAGTTAGTGTAGACATACTTTCTCAGGCCTTCAGTGAAGATCAAAGGTTGTTTGTGGATAAGCATCAACAGCAGCCCATGAGGCTAGACTGGTGAGATTACAGAAGTACTCCATAAGGAGGTTGGTGTCTGTTCATATCAGTGCAGTCTTGCTTGTCGCATGATATGAATTCTGGCTTTCTGTGGAAGAAGCCAATAGCCTTGTTGCAATAATGTAAGAAAAACAGACTGGGGTTAGAGGGTAAAACACACCATATGCTTCATTTCTTCCACTGTGCATTTACTGCGATTTACCTGATTTTAGAGTAAACTCGGGGATGTTTCAGTACAAAAAGTTGATGACATTATTTTTCTATTAGAAAACTGAAAATAATAACATCTGACTTACTCAGTGTTTTCTGTAATCCTTAATAAGAAACTTGCAGCTTGCACAAGCCACAGAAATGCTCTACATGCGTTTGGATACAATGAATACAACCTGCGTGGACAGGTAAGTGTGCTTTGGAGACGATGGAAAATGTTCCTCAATATCCAGTTGTACAGGAAAAAGGAGGCAATGGAAAGACAAGTCATAGTCCTTGTTAGAACCTCTTGATGCTATTGAAAATGTTTTCTGGGCTCTGGCTTTGAGCAATCTGAAGCAAAGGTGGAAGACAGGCTGCTTGCCTCTTCTTCCCAGGAGGTCACAAATCTAGCTGTCTGTACAGGACAGTTAAGATTGGTGACATCTTTTCCGTCTTAAAAGCAGTTCATAGTTGCATACTACTCTGTTATCTAGTACTATGCCTGCTCCATATTGGTCTGGGGGGCAACTTGGAAGTGGAGTTAATGGCATATGTGGTGCCCAGAGGAGGAGCGTGATAGTGATTTTGCCCCTTGAGTGAAGTCTGCATTGTGTAGGAGAGCTGTTAATTACTCATCAAAAATGTTGCATATTCATGATGAGTTTACATTTTAATTATTAGTTTAATAGGTCATCTCTTTGTATGAAACAACAGAAGATGACAGGCTCTCTGTTTGTCCATAAAAGCTTCTTTCTGACTCTCTGAACTCACTGTTTTGTATCTGTCAATATATATGTCTGATTAATGCTGTAATAGCTTTAGAGTTTAGGCTTGCCTTTGAAACATAGAATGTATTTATAAGAAAATCTCCACTGAAAGTTTCCTGCACTTCTAAAATCTAATGGGGCTTTCTTTTTCTTTTAATAAAGATTTATTAACTGGTTTTCTCACCACTTGAGCAACTTCCAGTTCCGTTGGAGCTGGGAAGATTGGTAAGTTTCTTCTTTTGATTCGAACCTGATACTGCAAAAACCTTAAAATTTCAAACTTATCCAGAAAGTGTCACAGCACAGTGGTCATGTTAATTCTTTTCCTCTGGCTTTTCAGATATCTTTCTTCATATGTTCACCACCACTTAGTGGTAGATTATCTTGATAATCTCTTTAGTCACTGTATTGTCCCTGGTGAACTTTGTGATAAATCTCAAGCCAGTGTAAACATTCCCTAAACAGGGGAAGTAGAAACATGATTTCTTTAATTTGTCCTGCACTCTCAGTCAGTTGCTAGCAAAATTTCCAAAAAGACTCCCCAGTTTACTTTTAATGGTTTACCCTGGCTCTTCGTAGCCTATATTCATTCTGCAGTGTTGCTGTCTGTGCTACCCTAAACCTTTAATTATAACTTTATCCTTGAGACCTCGTGATCTGTTCCATTGGAGCTGGCCCTGCCATCCATTCTTATCGTGACACATCTTGAACTTGCAGGACCTCTCTGGACTCCATCAGTGTCTAACCACATGTTCCCCTGAACTTTCCATTCCAGGCACCCATGTCACAAGAGAGATCATCTTGGGGTTAAGTCACCCTACAGTAACTTCCACAGCCTGCTACCATACGTGCTTTCTGTGGCTGGTCTGCCCAAATGTCCTTAAGTTTCTTGTGTTGTGGAATTAAGTGCTTGCTGCTATCTTAGTATACATCCATGTTGACTGACCAGTTCCTTGATGGCAGTGCTTCTGTGGGTCTTTCTCACAAGGTGCCATTTTTCGCAAATCTCACAGGTGACTACTTGAGACTCTTCTTTATCTGAAATGGGTTTGAGATCAGCCAGTTCAAAAATTCCTGTGAGGGAGGAACAGACTATGAAATCACACAAGGTTCATTTCCTAAGGAAAGGGAAAGACAGCTAACTGTAAGCACAAATTATTTTTAATCTGGTGAGGGAAGTTACTTGAAAATATATCACACAGAGTTGAGATTCCAAGAATGGTAGTGGCCAATAAGGAAGTAGTAATAAACTTACCTCATCATCTTAAAATTGCCTACACTGTAAAACTAAGTGTGAAGCACTCCAGTTGTCTTTAGATCATGATTGTTTTGTACCTACTAGATCAAGCCAAAAAGAGACTAAAGCACAAATTCTTCTGCTAAAAGCTATTGCATTCTGTCCTTTGAATAGGTCAGATTGTCTTACTCAAGACCTTGAAAAGCCCAAACCCAAATTTGTGAGAGAGGTTTTGGAAAAATGCATGCGGTAAGTAAGATCTTTTGATCGTTGCATTCAAGGCAAGTTTAATACTTGCTTCTGGATACTGTCAGATTCCTTTTAATTTGACTCTTGTCTTAGGCATGTCTATTCTTACAATTCAGTTTCAGTTAAGAGATGAGTCTGTCTGTATGATTTTAATCTGCTTTACCTGCTGTAGGACACTAGAGAGAGGGAGAAACAGGTGGAGCAGATGGTGGTGAGCTATCTATCCCAGATATGCACATGTGTAGTTATAAAAAGACATGCTTCACCATAGGCATGGTAATAGAGTTTAGGCAGTACCCCTCAAAAGTGTTCATCATTCACAGAAATGGAGGGTACGGATCATTAGTTATACTAAAAACTAAGAGTCTCATCTTGATTCTTCTAGGTTCCTCTGGTGTTCATTGACCTTAAAACAATCAGCTCTCCAAAAAAAAACAGAGAAAAAACCCAAACCCAATAGCAAGTACACAGTCAGTGTTGGACTTACAGTTGTTGAGATAGAGGGATGTAGGAGAGAGAAAGAGCAAAATGTTCAAAAAGCCTATGTTTTTCAGGATCCTACATGAGAACATTCATCCGTTTTCGGATTAATTCAGTATAGGAAGTGTGAAAGCATTGTGCTGCAAAACGAATGCAATTTTTCTATGGCACTCTTCCATTTCACTGAAAACTGGTAGCAAAATTAAGCCTTTGTGGGAGTTAAATAAGATGGAAAGTCAAATGAAGACATTCAGTTTAATACCTTTTCTGCTTTGAATACCAACACCTTACTAGTTTTCTGCAGTGCATCTTAGGCTTTTGCATAAAGCATCCTACCAGGCAGCCTCTAAATCTTTTCACAAGCTAAATTGTTTGTATGAAGATGAAACTCTACCATCACAGAGTTCAAATAGAAAGCATCTATGAGTAAGTTTGGTTTACTTCACTCTTACTACCCAGCAGAAACTACCATTGTGTTCTGTACAACATCCTGAGTTTTGCTCTATGAAAGTTAAATACAAGAAAATTGTTAAAACAGTCACTTTAGAATTAGCCCTGGTGTTACTCCCATTTTAATTCTACAGCTGTGAAACTTGTTATTTCCAGACTTTCCTACCATCAGCGAATAATAGACATTGTTCCTGCAAGTTTTTCTGTCCTCAGTCCTGCTAATCCACTGTGCATTTACAAATATGGAGATGAAAGTAATAGTAAGTATTAAAAGTTGAAGAAAATAGTGTTCCAGAGCAAGGGAACACACTACTTTGACTGTAATATCAGTTGTTCTCATAAAGAAGAATACAGCTGAAATAAATATGCTTTATTTTCATATGGGTAAATATGCTTCACGTGATCAATTAAGAGGTATTAAGCCTGGATGTCTGTAATATAATCCTCTTTGTTACTTTATAAAGAAAAGAAAATCCAGATACATGAAATTACTGTTGCTGAGGTGGTTGTGGTGTTGTGCAGCATTAGTTTGCCTGAAGTCTAGAATTGGAAAATTCAGCTGCTTCCCCTGTTTGGGCACAATGCTGTGCAAAAGTCAGCATATAAAGTGATAGTGTGAGTTTATTTTTTGAACTTTGTGAAACATCAGAAGATTTTACCACTAAACTTGGTTTAAGGAAGCATACAGAGGCAGAAGATGATGTAAAGGTTGAGGTAGAGAGATACCTTATTATTCCTTTTATTGCTCAATATAAAGACAATCCTAAGCATAAAAGTGTCATCATCAAAGATACAGTGAGGAAAAACAAGGAAGCCTTGTATATTCAGGAAACTGATGGAAGCTGAAGTAGAGTTTTAGACAAGAGAGCGATTACCTGACCTCAGCTCTAAGGGTTCTACTGAAAGTTTTGAATTTAATGTGAAGACCAGGAAATGTGTTGAGCAGTTTTATGGAACAGTGATGTGGACAATGATACTGGAAACAGCTAGTTTTAGGTGTAGCTGGGAAGTGTACTTTTTTCTCTGAGAGGCAAATTGATGTTAAAAATACTTACTTTCTACATATTTTTGACCTCTTTGTTTTTGTTTAGGGTCTCTTCCTGGATATACTGTGGCGCTCTGTTTAACAATCGCAATTAAAAATAAGGCCAGTAATGATGAAATCTTCAGCATTTTAAAAGATGTGCCTAATCCAAACCAGGATGATGATGATGGTAAGATATATGCTGTTAGGCTTGGGCAGGCTGTCACTTCTTTTGTGTGTAGACTAATCTGCTGTCCTTTGGAGCTGTGAGTGTGGTGGTTAACACAACTGTATGCTTTTCCTTCTAATAGCTGGTTTCAATTTATCAATAAATGGAAATAATATACCAGTGATAGGGTTTTCTATAAGCATCTCACATGCAGAGGCAGACCTGTTATTCTTAACAGAGGTAACCTGGTGCTTGAGGTGTGTTTTTCTTGTGATTATTACAGAGGTAGCATGAAAGAATTTATTTCCTTTGCCTTCAGCAACAGAGGACAGTTCAAGCTCTTATCCTCAGAGCTTCCCTCCACTTGGTGCAGTCCCACATCAGAAAATACGGCCAGCCTTCTGGCTGTAGTCTTCCACAGATACAAACTCATGGTGGGATTCCACTCATTCTTCTTAGCTTTGTAGCCACAGACAGCATCAGTTCGTAAAGTCTGTGTGTTTTAGGGAGTAGGAAGGAATGTGAGACAGAATTAAGAAGTGATCTTACAGTGGGGATGGCTTCAGCATTTCTGTAATTTTCACAAGTATTCTGTAACGCAAGCAGAAAGCAGCAACAATCTGGCTTTTTGCCCTGGGATCCACTGTCGTGTTTCCTGGTTTGCTTTAGGCATCACCCACTACTGAGTGCTCTCCCGCCTGCCAGTCTTCAGCTGCAAGGTAGCTGCAGCTATAGGAGGGGACATGGCACCATTCACCCCTAGTATGTGGACCCTTCTCCCATGTCATAGTCAAACTCCGTATCCTAATCATCCTTACCTTCCCCTCTTCTCATCCACGCTCCCTTCTTCATGGTCTGCCACGCCTTCAGCTTGATGCATAGCTCTGCAGTTTCCTTTGCTGTCTTTCTCTACTGCCCATCAGTGTTGTTATGTGTTGGTAGGGTGTCTGTGTCTCTGACAGCTTCTTCACTGACCTGGAATTCTTTCTGCATGTTTTCTCAATGCCAAAATAGCAGCCTGAAGATCTGCACATTTTGGAAAGTCTTTACTAGCTCCCTGCTGAGCCTTGCAAAACCCTGTTGATGAAACTTTTTTTGTGAAATTAGTTAAAAACATAAGTTAACTCCAAGGTTTTGAGTCACTTATGTGTTTTAGTTGAAGTACTTATAGTTTCAACTTTAAATAACCTGCAGATGAAGGATTTACCTTCAACCCTCTGAAAATAGAAGTCTTTGTTCAGACTCTGCTTCATCTAGCTGCAAAGTCTTTCAGCCACTCCTTCAGTGCCCTGGCAAAGTAAGTGTAACATGCATTATTTTGGGGTGTACAGAACTGTTTAATTGTGACAGTGAAATGCATTATAAAAAGAACAAGACTGCAAGCTTCAGCAATGTTTTAGGTGCTTCACAATGTGCTATGATTAGGAGAACTAATGACACTGCTTAATGAAGAAATGGTAGTGTAGATCCTAGGTTATATATGTGAGTGGAATTAACAGAAATGTGTACATTACAGCCGTGTGATGTAACTCAAAGAAATGAGACAAGTTTGGAATGTTGCTCCATTTTATAATTACTCATTTGCTGATTATGGTGAAGAAAAGGGTTTCTCCTTCCATTTGAATGACTGGGTAGCTCCCACCGCAGTGTCTTGTACTATGAATATGACTCCAGAACAGTTAATGTCTGTATAAAAAATGAAGGAAGAAAAAGAAAACATGAAACTTCAAAGCAGTCTGCTATAAACTACTACCTACCAAAGCGCAGTAAAATTAATTCTAAAATACTTCAGAGTGAATCCCTTAAAGACATGCTTTAATTTCTAAAGAATTTGCTGCACCTTTTTTAGCAAAATGAGATAAAATACCTGATTTAATCCAGTGTACTTTGGAGTTGCTCTTAAGTGATCTTGATAGATGAAAGGTAGTCACATGCATCTTAATGAGTTATTTTTCTATCTGTCCTTAAAGATACATAAAGCCATTACAGAAACATGCACCTGAGATGTTTATAGAGGCAATGTTGATAAGAAGCTGTAGGTAGTAACCTGCCATCAGTAGTACAGGAGGCATGAATACTTAGAGCCATGGTATTTTCTCTGCTGCACACCAACAGTGGCAGCCGTGAGATCAAAAAGAGCCTCTTACACTTTATCGTTATCTTACAATAAGCTGGGTTATGAATTCTGTGTAGCAGTCAGCGTAACTCTGCTAAATAGAGGCTTTTAGCAGCATTTCCTTCAAAAAGAGGCTGATTGGATAAGTGTCTAAAGTTACAGAAACACATACCAAGAGGAAGGTCTGAGGCTCAAAAGGCAGCAAATTTTGCTCCAGCTGCGTGTAGATAAGCACACAAAGCATGGAAGTGTTTCCTGCCTTTATGAGTATGAGAAATGTAGCCCAGCTTCAGGGAGTAGGTTTTACCACTAGGATTTAAGTTGCTTTTAGGAGCTGTCATGTCTTTGTAGCTTATTTTAGCTCAGGATGGTTATATTTTCCAGGGAACAGTTGTTCAAGAATTGCTGCAGATAGTCACAGAATTTTCTTCTGGGCAATCTAAATCACTTGCCTTGTATCTGCTGCTCTTTTGACCTGATCTCAACCCCTCTACTGACTACTTACATCTATTAAAAGGTTTCATGAAGTCTTTAAAACGCTTGCTGAAAGTGATGAGGGGAAACTCCATGTTCTGAGGGTTGTGTATGAGGTTTGGAAGAATCATCCACAGGTAAGAGGTTGCAGTGTCAAGTATCTTTGTGAGTTTCAGCTCATAGAGGTCATATTTAATAAACATTACAGTTTGCTTTATGTCCTTTAAAAATAACTTGTCTGTTGTCATCTTATTTGAAGGAAAATTCAGTTTGTATTTACTGTGGTTGTTAGTGCCTAAAATGAAGGTTGGGATTAAAATATATGCCATAAGTGAGGCCACTTCCTCTTCAGAGTTCATTGTGGGAGGGCAGAGGCTGTCGTTCTGACTGATTCATACTATACTGTTTGTCATACAAGAGAATAACTTTTGCTAAAATCATATTTCTGTTTGAAATTAGAAAAAAGTGTAGATGTGTCAATTGAAATAAAATGTAGATCTCGTATCAAAAGCAGGCCACATTCTTAGAAATGTGGAAATCTGGGGCTTTTAAGGGTTGGGTTGTTTTTTTTTTTTTTAATTGCTAGTGAAAGCCATACAGTTATTCCACAAAGCTCATGTTGGAGTCACTGTTGTGTGTGGGCAGAGCGAGTAGAGCTGCAGTCAGTGGCTGTTCAGAACAGATCAGTCTGACAGTGCCATGATTATGTTCATTCTTGAGCCAGAGGAAATTACACCCTAAAAGACCTATGAGAAATGCCTCAGTTGTTTAAGCTGTTCAGTTTCTTCACAGCAGTTGTTTTCTCCCTCAGCTGTCATCCTTCTATAAATAGAAATCAATAAGGAACTCAAGCTGAATTTGCCTGCATTAATTATTTCACATATTCCTTACTGATGTGTTTGTGTTGCACTTCATTGTGTTTGGAAGTGGATTGTACCTCACAGCTGCATAGGACAGATTTTCTGAAGCAATGCCACTGAGAACAAGGGGTAATCCTTGCATCTGCTACTGGACCTGGGATCCATTCCCTAGGGGAAAAACTGAGCACCTAGAAATACCTATGCAAGATATCATCTCCCTTCTACATACAGTAAAAGCATCAAAAAAGCAGTATTTTTTAATATATTAAACTTCCTACCCAAATTCCTGACCTTGAAAGTGTGACAATTACAGTCTGACCTACTTTATAACTACCATTTAACTGGATCAGAAGAAATTATGTTACTACAATCTAATATCCATATCCTCTTCATTCCTTCATATTGCAGCATGACCAAACTGAGATGGAGGCTTCAAACTCAGACCAACAGTCATGTTAGATTTTTATGAATAAACCAAGATTGCTTTGAAAAATATCAGGTGCAAAAGTAATGAAGGTCTGCTGTTCTACTTGATCACAGAACTTAAATTTTCTTTTCTTGCATTTATTGCAGTTCAGTCTTTTGCTTCTGTTCAAGCACTTTTTATTTTTTTTCTGAGTCCAAACTTCCTGGAACACAGAAAAAACGGTGCCTGGACAGCAGAACATTTTCCAGAGCGTTCTCGTGCCACTCGCCCTACTCCCATGTCTATGGGAACATCCTTTGATTTGGTTCAGAATAGTATCTGCAAGGCATATAGTGCTAATGAGTGATCAGTCCTGCAGATAGTGATTTAGCAGTAGGCATCAGTAGTCCCCAGACCTAAAAGTGAGGTTGCAGTGGTGACTTCATAAAGAGAAACTTTATGATTGAGATGAAATATTTTCTCAAAATCCTAGGTCTTTGTTTCTTGGAGGATCAGGCCAAGAAACGAGAAATTCTTCCTGGCAATACAGAAAGACAAATAGAGCATAGAATGCTATCCTGGGACTTGAAAGTTGAGTGCTGAGTCTTCTGTATGATTCATTCAGTTATTTTAATTTTCCTTCCTTAAAAGGAGCTTTGTTGCACTTCCTTATTTGACAATGGGTGGTTGTAAGGATAAATACAGTGCAGGCTGTGGATCTTGGATACTGTGGCATTCAAGCACATGAGTAACTAAGATAAGCCTTTTTTTCTGAACAGCTTGCAACTGCTTTAGTCAGTAACTCCTCTCTGCAGTTGCCTGTTAGATTGCTTGCAACGCCCCCAGAATCATGGCAGTGCCTGTAGCAAGTAAGCACTTCCATTGACTGCATGATGCTGGCTCTGTCCTGAAATGAATAGGTCCTGTAGAGAAAATCTTACTGTCACGTTCGAAGACTGTTGCAGTTCAGAGAGAGTAGGCTGGTGGTAGCTCCTTCATTATAGTGATTTGAGAGGTATATGCGCTCTGGTTTGTGCACTTTGATGTCAAATACTAGGACTTGAGTCTCGAAGGCCTCACCTCCAACTGCAATACTTGTATTTTTTGCTTTTGCATGGAAGTATGTGTGTTAACAAAAAGTGATACATCTCTTTTGCAAGAAGTAGAAAAGGTTGTTAAACAAAATCAGAAGGCTTTATGTAATTGATACAGATCTGTAATTTGAGCAGTTTTAGGCTAGGCTACCCAGCTTCCTAAAGTATTTGAAATTACCCAGTAATATCACAGACGTAGAGTTGCATCAAACTGTCTCTGCTTTTATCTGAGGCTGGAATACTTTACACAGATTGTGTATACAATGTCTTTCACAAAATATAGATGATTGCTGTGCTTGTGGACAAGATGATTCGGACACAAATTGTTGACTGTGCTGCAGTAGCAAACTGGATCTTCTCTTCAGAGCTTGCACATGATTTTACTAGGTAACAAGAATTTGTCTTGGGTTGTTATTTGTCTCTGAATTACTATTTTAAGTGTCCAGTACATAGTTTAATCTACAGAAACTACAGAAAAAGGTACAATTAAGCTTTTGTTCCTTCTACAAAATATGTACTTTAGCATTTTTCTTTCTGAGTTGGGGTATGAATGTTTACATGACAGTGCAGGAACGTTGCTAGCGTGTCATTTTGCAAGTAGTCTCTAAGCCTGCCAAAGCAGAACAACACTGGAACTATTTCTAGGCATAGTCTGTTGCTGTGTGTTACATAGCTCCTAGCTTAGTTGTGGCCCCAGTCTTTGACTGAGGTATGTAACTTTTACTGCCACTGATACATTGCTTATTGAGAACAGGAGAAGTGTTTCGTCTGAGAAGTGAATTCGATGGTGGTAGTCTTGCAGTACATGTAGGAAATACAATGCTGGTTAGGAACTATACTACAAAAAGTAGGAAATAAGTGATTGTTAAGCTTTCTTACATTACTATAGGTAATATGTATGTATATATTTTATATAGAGAGACATACAAAATACACATAGGTATGCTTTCCTGTATGTTGAGTGTTTGCTCACTCTACTGGATACTAAGTTTTTTAAATTTCCCCAGATACATTTTTCTGTAAGAAACTACATTTAGTTTTCTGTCTTGGAGAAATGCATAATGCAGTGTTTTGAGCTTTGTGTCCTTCCTAGGTTTTATATCTGGGAGATATTACATTCCACAATTCGTAAGATGAATAAGCATGTTCTGAAGATTCAGAAAGAACTGGAGGAAACTAAGGCAAGATTGGCCAGGCAGCACAAAAGAGTGAGTAACTTGTTTGTAATTTTTAGTTATTTTAAGCTAAGTTTTACAAACCTGCATGCTGTCAGGCTGATGCACAGTTGGTTTTGGGAAGGACTGAATAAATATGTTTATCAGTAAGCATGTCTGCAGACATGTGATCATCTGTAGCACTAAGACATTAAAAACTGGGTGCATGTTCTCAGTCCACCTTTCTAATAGTAGATATAACCTAAGAATTCAGTAAAATCTTTAAGGGGATTCATATGTATTTGCTCTGTTCAAGTGCTCTCTCACAAGTTTCTCTTCCAATACAAGCATGTTTTCCACTTGCCTTCTAACATGGATTTCAATTACCTGATTAGATAACAATAAGACCAGTTACAAATTATTCATAGTAAGTTCTGTTAAAGAGTACTCTTGTGGCTTCCATGCAGAAGTGCACGGAAACAGCTATTTGTTATTGAAAAGTTGGCTGTTACTGTTCTTCTGATGGATGCTGCTGGATTCTGACACTGGTAGCTGTCACTTCCTTCTTCCAGCTTCTTTTTCTGGGGTACTGTATACAACAAACTGATGAGCAAGCAGCTGCTGTTTTGTTCTGTTTGTCCCAAGTACAACAGTAAAATAGGGCGAGAGAGTGTCTTCTGTGTCATCTGCAAAAGATGGGGCCCAAGGAAGCTTGGCTGAGTGCAATACTTAGTTGTGATAGAATGAAGTCAGTTTATAAACATGTTGAGAGTTGCAAAGAGCGAGAGAGAATTTCTGTGTTTATATGTAGTCTGTATAATTACCCACATAAAATCCTTAGCTCCAAAACTTTGGACAAAGTCCGTGTCAGAATTTCGCACATGGCACAGACGCTGCTGATGGTTTTTGAAGAAATCTGCACAAGTCAGTTATTTTTCCAGAAGTTTCTGTTGGGAGATCACTAATACCTCACAGTTTGCCACTGTCGATTCGTTCCAGCCCCTTCATCTTGTTTCCTCCACTCCCAGCAGTAGCCATCCTGGTTGCTTGCATCCTCAATGTAAATTGATCAGCAGCTAATAAATGCCCATGATTATTGAAGACCTAGATGCAGTCATTGATCTTACTGTGAGGCAAAGAGCTTTTCTGGCATCTCTAAACAAATATACCAGTGTTTTCATTTCTGTACTTGCCTCTTGCTGCAGCTCTTTATTACTGAGTACTTCAAATGACTATTGTGCCAGGAAGAAACATTTGTATGCAACAGTGAGTAGTTCTGCAGGCTGTTGCTCTGCTGCATGACCATTCCTTTTAGAGAAAGTAAACTGTCAAGTTTTGATGTCCCCAGCATGACGTGGGTTGCCTTACTGTGGAATGAGTCCAAGGCTTACATGCTTTCTCTTCGGTCTTATTGGTCCTGTAGTGTTTTGAGTTCAGGAAATCTCTAGATGAGGCAAAAGCAAGTTACTATAGAGAGAATAAAATTAAATTCTCACTTTCTTGGGTAAGTTGTTTTTATTTTTTATGCTGATTCAGAGCTGTAACTATCTTCTGATTGTGGGTCTTACTTGCTATGCAGTAGGTAAGTTAACACATAGCCCTGTATTTGTCACAAGTTGTACATGCTCCTTTTACAACATTTGAATTTTTGAGCTGTTAATTTATGGGTGTTTTTGCACAGAAACAATTCTATGAGACTGAAGCAATATCTGTATTTGAATGTACCATAATCCATCAGATTCTGCTTTTCTTTCTGTATCCCTTGTAGTCTCGTGTAAGACTTCATTACCTGAGCTCCCAGCTGGTACTTAGGTGTATTTTGTTGTGTTGGTTTGGTTTGGTTTTGAGGCAATGAGAACATGCCATGTTCCTAGCTAGTAGTTTGGTTTCCATGCTGACCCTTTCTAGTCTGAGAGCATCCCTTTTGATCATGAATATAGGGAGTCCCCACTTTAACACCGTGGGCTACAGTCTTTAGTCTTCCTTTTGTGCTAACCAGCTGGAGTCATCTGAGTTCTTGCACAAAGTGTTTTATTTTTTTGGAGCCCTGAAATTTCACAACTGTTCATTGAATGAATTAACTGCACTGCTGCAGTAGACACAATTTTTAAAAATTTTTGACTGATATTTTTGAAAAAGCTGTTCATTATCTGGTAATGATAAAGTCAGCCAGGGGTATTACCTTTCACTGTTTCCACTGAATAAAGGACTGGTAAATCTTTAAGCTTGCTCTGGTTTCTCTGAAATCTTGATTATTTTTTTTTTCAGGGCTTTCCCATATTGCTATTTTTCCTTCCAAATTTATTTCCTGAATTGTATTCAAAGTAATTTTCCTCCCAGATACAATGCTTACCAAGGTACAGAGCAGCTTCAGTTGCTGCTCTTCAATTGCTCTGCAGATGTTTTCACATGTAGAACCAGAGGGCATTAGCAGTATCCACAGGTAGCCAAGTTGCTAGTTAGTCCTGTGTTGTTGTCACTTACAGCGAGACAGTGATGATGATGATGATGATGACGACCGAAGCAGTGATCGGGAAGATGGACCACTAGAAGAGCAGATAGAGCGCTTGCAGGAAAAAGTAGAGTCAGCCCAGAGTGAGCAAAAGAATCTCTTCCTTGTTATATTCCAGGTAATGATGGGCAAAGTCTCGTCTCGCTTTCAGGTTTTAAAGCTTTTAACTGGATTCATAAGCTTGCAGTGTCACTTGTATCTCGGGCATCTTCTTGGAATAAGAATATGGGAAGGGGTTGATGGGTTTACTATGGGTTAGGGTCAATCCAGGTCATCCCCCTGCAAAGGCTGCTTCTGAGCAACATCTGTTCAGTTTCAAGTGCTCAGAAACAGAGGAGTTCTGCTAGCATACAGTTTCCTGAACAACCAGAAGGTAACTTGATTTTATTTGCTTACTAAATTCAGTATTTGCCAAGCAAAATAATTATTCTCAATAGTTCAGAGCTTCTATCCCCCAGATTCTCTTACCTGAGCTTAGGATCCTGCTCTCATTTGACAAGACTGAATATAAGTGTGTTGTTTTGTTTTGTTTTGTTTTTTTCTTCTCCTGCAGCGTTTCATTATGTTGTTAACTGAGCACTTAGTGCGCTGTGAGACTGGTGGAATTGATGTATTTACACCTTGGTACAAGAGCTGTATAGAGAGGTTGCAGCAGATCTTCCTGCAGGTAAATTTAATTTCTCAATTTGGAAGGCTGTGGGCAGAGGCATGCTGGATAGTCAAGCTTTGTGGCTGAATAAGTGAGCACTCCATGAAAGTAGCAGTAGATGGCAGCAGCACATCTTCTCCAAAGGCTAGTGTGAGATTAGGTCATAACTGGTTCTGGCCACATCTCTGCCACAGGCTGGTGGAGTGACTGATCCTTGATTAATTTTCACACTGTGAGCATGCTGCAAAAAGGTACCAAGATGTGGTTATGAATTTCACTGAGCTCCTCTTAACTGTGTGTTTATAGTGAGAGCAAAGTTGTGAATGAACAACAATACTAAACTAGCTATCTTTTAAATAAGAGGATTAAAATGTTGCAGAATTCCTTTTCATAAGATGTGTAAACATCTATTTAAAATAATTTTTGAATTCTTGGCTCTGTATTAAATCAGGTAACAGGCACAGGTGGCTGGATAAAAGTGGTAGTAATACGAAATTATACCTGTGCAAGCAGAAGATATGTTGAAGAATGGGAGTAGTATAATTCTCCCCTGGGCTGAACCCTTCCCTGATGGTAGATGCAGCTTCAGAGGAAAGCAAATACCATGATTCTCCTAGGATATCTCTGTAGTGGTATGGTGTCCTGCACACTATTCAGGGTCCAGGAGTGAAGAGCTACAGGGAGCACAGTGCCTCTCAAGTCAGGATTTCAGCACATGCTTTCTTCTTGCAGTCAGTGGTGGCTCTGTGTTATGCTTTTCTTGTCAGTGGGTGTTGTATTGTGGAAATGAGATGTGCCTAACAATTTTGATGAAAGCGTTTGACCTGTGATTCTTACAGGTCTCGACTTCTTTGCCTGTTCTTATATAAAGGTAAATGAAAACAATAAAGGTTTGCATTCTGTTTTTGTTTTTTATCTGCCAGCATCACCAGATAATCCAGCAGTACATGGTGACCCTAGAGAACCTCCTGTTTACAGCTGAACTGGACCACCACATACTGGCTGTGTTTCAGCAGTTCTGTGCTCTGCAGGCCTGAGGATTATTCATGGGCAGAGTCTTGTCTGGAGGACTTAAATGAATTTAAATGTTTGTGGGTTTTTTAGTGGGAAAACTTAACATGGGGATGGAAATTTTTGACTAAAACTGGCTTTCATTGCTTCTATATGAATTAGTACAGTACTCTAACCAACAGCAAACTGTGTAAGCATCATAAGCCTTACAAGATATGACTGAAAGGGGATAGATTTGGAGTAATGTATTAATTATTCTTGTTGTCTTTTAATTTGGTTTACTTTTGACTTTGTTATAGTATTTTTGTTTCTCCCCTCTTGTTTATACAAAGATAAAAATTACCACGCACACTGCGCCCCCAAAAATCAAAACAAAAAACCACAAAAAAAAGCACCAAAAAAAAAGCAACCAACCAACCAAAAAAAAATACCAACCCTCCCCCCCCCCCCCCCCCCCCCAAAAAAATAAAAAACACCCTACCCCAAAATCGTTCATAGTGTTTTGTGAGTATGAAAGGGAATGCACCTTCTCAGCAGTGTGGTGAAGTTCTCTAGTGTGGCATAGTGAAAGTATCTTAACTTTGGGCATGTGAAATGCTCGAGTTAAGCTTTCATAGTATAGAGCATATGAATTTGTTTATTACCAAGCCAGTTAGATATTCAGAGTTTGAAAGAACATGGTTGTACTACAGCTTTAGATGTATTGTCTAGTGTCTTATTACAGTAGCTATAAACAATCAGTAGAGGAACTTCATGGACAGCTGAAAAATGCAATCCCTTTTGCAGTATGGTTGGGGAATCATGAGCTGCTCCTGGCAGCAGCCTTCACTGCTAAATAGAGCCAGTGAGCAAGGGTTGGAGCGGAATAAACTTTTGACTTCTGTATTGCAAGCCTTACCGGGTGTTGGGAACTCCCGCCTCAGATGCCAGGGGAGAGGGCAGGGCAGTGTTCAGCTTGTTCCTTTATTTCAGCCCGTAACTAGCTGGGTCGCCAGGCTTGTGCTGGGCTGGACCTGCAGGCCTGCAGTGGTGCCAGAAATCTTCCTGGTGGTGACGGCTGATGAACCAAGTGCCCTGCGTAGTAACAACTGCTTTGTGGTGGCTGCGGCTGCTGCCCTTCCCTTGCTTTAAAATGTGACAACAGCATGTGGCTCCCATGTCTTCAGGAAGCATTTTTATGCTAAATTGATATCTCATGGGAAACTTCGGCTAGGAAAACACAACTTGAAGATAGAGTAGCCTTAGTTTTCAGTTATGCAAATAACGTTACGTACATAAACGCCAAACCAGAGTGGTCTGTATTACAGTAAGCAGTGATGAATAGCAAAGACACTGCATTAGGTGCTCAGGTCTGTCAGTGTGCAGTGTATTTCCAAGCCATTTATGGACTCTTCATTTTGCAGGTGAATTTTTAAAGAATTTCTTACCCAGTGCTATTCAATTTAAGCTTAGAAAGTTACGAGCTTTGAGTTATTTTGTTCCTGTTACAAATCATTTTTTCACTTATACCTAGTAATGCATTTCACCTGTACCATGACCAATTGACCTCCTGAGCAAACAAGGAGGGTAAGAAATGGAACTTTCTACTTTGACCCAAGTTTGCGTGTGTGGCCTGTAGCAATCAGATGTATACTCATAGACTTAGATCTCTTACTTCTGCTTTCTCTGCTTAACCTTTCAGATTTGACAGATTCCTCCATTCTTTCAGGGTATACTGTTACTTGTAAATTTGCTTTATGTAAGGGTTTTCTCAGTCATGCAGACTTCTGATTCAAATCTTTTTCTGCTCATGCTCTTGAGTAATCAAATAGTTGGTGGGCTTTTTTTTTTTTAAGAAATGTTTAATACTGTAGAGGTTTTAATTGGGGTTTAATAGTGTTTCCACTGGCTCAGATCAGTATCAGAGTTCTGATATTAGCCAAGGGTAAGGGTCTGACTATAAATGTGACTTCTGTAAAACCAATAATGCAGTTAAAACTTGCAGACGTGTAACTTCCTCTGAGCCTTGACAAACAGGGGTGCTGGGGATCCAGTTGCAAATGCCTGAGTGTAATCATATGACTTAAAACCAAGTAACAATGTCTTTCAAAATTGATTTGACTTCTTCCATGGTGAGTGTGGGCTCTGATTACATTTCTTGAGGCTGCTGGACACCTCCCCCTCTTTGTAAGTCCACAAGTCCAGTGGCATACATGTGACTTGACTGGATCTGCAGGAAGGAGAATGAGATGCTTGCATAGTGATACCAGCAGCTAATTGGAGTAACTTTGAACCACTGAAGCACGAGGTGGGGGATAGTCTAAAGATGCTGTAGAAATGTGGTGTGGTTGGAAAAAAATGCACAAGTGAAAATAAATGAAGGTGAAGCAGATTGCTGCTGGGAGTGTTTGTCGTACCTGTTCTGGGGGGGGGGCCACTGAAGCAAAGCAGGGTTACGCTGGTGTTTAGTGCCGTCAGGCCTGGAGCAGTTGTTTCCCCTGCGCTGTTGCTGCTCCTGACTGACACACAAGACGTTCACCTCCTCGTGCTCTTGGCTGAGGGAACGTGCTTCCCCCACCTGCGCAGCTGAGCGAGGCAATCCCACGTGCTGCTGGGTGCCCCAAGGGTGCCCGTGTGGAAATTCTCCCTCTCTCTTGCCACCTGCAGGAGGCTGGGCAGGGGTTGGGCCGGCAGTGCTGAGCAGTGGCTGCGGCAGCCTGCCCACAGGCAAGTGATGCAGCAGCCAGCTCATGCCACCCACCTGCCCTCCAGAGGCATTTTGGGGCCCGAGACCACGCTGGGTCATGGGACCAATGACGTGGAAGAGCACCTTCAAAAGCTCTGCCAGGACCTGCCTCCCACCCTCCAGCCAAGCCCACGTGCCGACCCCCTCAGCCTCACAGGGCCCCAGCCCTGTGCTCGGTGGGCTGGCAGGTCACTGAGGCAGCAGACCCCACCAGAGCATGGGAGATGTGAAAACCTGTGAGTGGAGCCATCACACGCCCACCCGACACCTCTCCTGTAACATTCCAGTCCTGCACAGCCACTGTGGCCCAGCCTACCCCATTCACAACGGAGAACACAGAGCTGCTGCCTAGAGCATGTTTCTTCAGCCATTTTCACAAGCATTCCACAACAGCTCTAAGAACCAAAGATTTTAAATTTGAACTTAAACCCCCCCTGTACTGAAATCAAGGATCATTTAGGTGTGCCTTGGAATGCTCTTTCTTCTCCCTCCCCAAGTAGGTACCCTTTTCATTTACAAATTTCTGACGAAATTTTACTTGAAACAAAAGCAATAGAGGATACATTTCGTAGAACCTCCCCAGGATCATGCAGCTTTCCTTCCACTAGAGTTCTCCTTTAATGGAGCCGATTCTGCAAACCCAAGCAGGAGAACGTGCCTGACATGGCCTCCTACCAGCAGAAGAGGTGCTTTATCAGATAGTCACCCTCTGCATGCCCACGACCAGTAACTGGAAACCAGACAAGAGAGCCTTCCTCCTCTAATGGAAGCAGACAAGCAGGAAATTCACCTTAATTTCATCAGCATATGAAGTATAATGATACCAGCTTATCTTTTGGCCTACGAGGTACCAATTTATTCAACTGTTAAAAATGTGCTATGTTCTACCCCAAGATCTAGCTTAAAAGACAAAGCTGATTGTTCTGTACAGGTCTTCTTACAACTGAGGAACATCCCCCTTCAAAAATTTGGCAACAGCTTGTTCATAATTAGCATTTATTTAATATAAAATACAATTCAAAACATAATTAAATAGAAAAAATATTAACACTACATCTTCTCATAAGTTAATTCATGGCCACATACAGTACACGTCTTTTTATATGTATCTTCATCAATGTTTTCTTCTGGTCCATACTCATGTTCATGGAAACTAGGTTTTTTCTTCCACAAACTACTCCTCACAGCACGGTGCATTTCTGATGAGAAATATAAGAATATTTTAACATTTTAATACATCTTAAATAATGGTTAATAAAACTCAGGCTAACCACCATTCTGAGGACTACAGACAACAATCTGCTTGTTGCCTGTCTTCCATAAATTTTGGGTGAGAATCTGCTACTTCAAGAACAAGCTTCAACTTGCCTTGCAATCTTCACCTTGTTTGCATATTTTGAAGGGTAAGAACTACACTGACATGAGATCTCACAGGAGAAGATTTTCCATCTGGACTAAATACGTGTTGCCCGCTGCCATTTTACATGAAGCCATTCAAAAGTATCCAAAAGGGATAGGTGGAATGCAGAGGAAAAGTTTTATAAAACACCTCATTGTTTTACGTGACCAAGAAAAAGTACTTTTCATTCAGGTCACAGTAAGCCTCCCAAATGACTTGGCATTCTCTAAGCTTTATGCCCAATAATGTGAGCTGCCTCTGCAGCAGCCGCAGTGAAGTCAGCAGGTTTTCAAGAGAGCACAGGCTGGCAGCCGAGCCCAAGATATTATCCGGATGTTGCAAGTGGGTGGCAAGCATACCGAACAGCAAAATGTAGTCACATTTTGAGCCAAACCATCCAGGCTGCAAACTTTGTCATGTTAAGGCCTGTACTTGCACTGAACTCTGGCATCCCGGCTACAGTCTGCTGCCACTCCTCCTGTGCACTGAACAACAATGGTCAAGGCAGGCGTTACTTGCTCAGTCTCCTTTTCTGCCTCCTCCAGACAATACCAGTACAGCCAAGCTTGAGCTTTCTGCCTCCCGAGTGCTGTCCCAAACTGAAGCACAGATGCCATGGGCAGCACAGACATCATGGTAAGTCTCAGCTCTTGAAGAAACAAATGTGGTCTTTTTTAAAATTCCTAGCATGTCTCTGCTGGAAGTATTTCTCAGTTCTACCCAGAACTCTTAGGACTTCTACTCTCCTAAATACTAATTTATCAGGAAAAAACAAGGATAACGAGCACTGAAAAGAGCAGCTGGGAGTACTGTGAACAGTGGGAAAAGGCATTTTCTACCTTCATTTACAGTTACTCCACCTGAAGGCATATGTATGACAGAATTATAAACTACTGGCACAAAAAGCCATGTTCTCCACAAGTCAGGAAAAGTAATAGGAACAATCTATGGCACATTCTGGGCAATAGAAAAAAAAAAAAAATCTCACAATGAACCATCATAATTGAATTCTGCCATTTACATCATGTCCATAGGACAAGAAGGTAATTCAGGTTGGAAGGGACCTCAGATCTCCAGTCCAACCCTCTGCCCAAAATAGTCAGCTATGAGGTCAGACCAGACTGCTCAGGGCTTACCCACACGGCTCCTGAAAACCTCCATTTTGCCACACTGAAGATTTTCTAAATACTTTAATCAGATGTAGAAACAAATTCAAACAGAACTGTACTTTACTTCAGGTACAGCAGTATGTAAGTTTAACACTTTACCTTTAACTTTCTTATCAAACTTCTTCTGTTTCATCTTCTCTCTGCTCTCACGGCGGAGTTCCTTTGCTTCTTGCAATGACTCTTCACTACCCCAGACTTCAAGGGAACGCTTTATTACCTATAGGATAAACATAAATGTGGGTTTTTTCCTTGAGACAATAAAACTATTCTAACTCACAAATCTAATTTTTTCCCTGCACACACACAAGCCAACCCAAACTTCTCTGTCTCCCAGCTCTCTTTGCTCTTGACCTGCAAACATGGCATTCTTTTCACAGTAGGAGGTAACACTGCTTTTTAGTATTGGCAACATTGATTTTTACTTACTGGGGAAAGCCAAGCCCAGCTCTAACTTTGTGCATACTCCACTAAAGCAGCAGCATTCCTTTAAAAGGAACAAACAAGAAATGCTAAAGCCGTGGAAAACACAGTGGCCTCTCCTGCTCCCTCTGAGGGCTGAGCTGCAAACACGAAGCCACAGCTACAACGGGACACACACACAGCAGCAGCTGCCCCACGTGTTTTAGCATAGCAGTGAAAGGCCATGCCCTTTGTGACCTTTATTGTGCAAACCACTGAGGTTGTGGTGGTCCATGAACATCTTTAAAATGCTCTCAAACACAGACATTTTAATGAATTTGGGCCATGGCTCTTTATTTTAACTATACAGAAAACATACACAAGCTATGTATAACATACTTAGCTTTGACAAAATAACTCAGAAATAAAAAACAAAGCGACACTGTTTTGTTTGCCGAAGTTGTACAAAGGTAAGAACAGGTCTGAAATATGAAAAGTTTCTGTACCTGTGGCTTTAAATAAAGTTTCATGTCACCCCATTGTGCATTATGACGGTTTTTCTTCAGAATGAATCTGAGCACTGGTTCCCTCTTGTCTAAGTCACAGTCTTTAAGAAGAAACTCTTCTTTTGCTTCTGTCCTTGTTATAAGCTTATGTTTATCTTCAGCATCTCTGGAAGATGTAAAATAATTATGAGAAACCTACACCTGAAAACCACGTTATTAACATCTAAGTCCCCATCACATCTAACATTCCTGAAATACAGGTAGCCCTCGATCTTCTCAGTTTTTATGTATGCAAATAACTCTAGACTCCAACAATCTAGTTAAACTCCAAGACAGGTTTACTGAAATTAAGTTTAAAAATTCTCCCATTTGAGCAAGCACAGGCTGAGAAGCCTGCTCTTCTAGAAGGGCTTTTGTTCTGTTTTCTTACAAGAGGGAGTAACTGAAACTTAAAAGGAGTATGAATAATTTTAGGTATTCACCTAACCCAGATGCAATTCAAGAGGACAAAAGTACAAGCCTGACACATGGTCGAGAGAAAGAATGTGTAATGTGAGACAGGTCAGATCACCTGAGAATATACACACTCCATATGCTTCTAGATCCCAGAAACAGATTAGCAACACAGAGCACTTCTTTCTAAATTCAAGACAGTAGGCAGAGGAACCGTAAAATAAAGACCTTAAAAAACTGTGTCTTTTACCAAACAGACAATGAAAAACTGTGTAACCACACCAGCACTTATGAGTTAATGAAAAAAAATTACATTTACGCAATCCTGACTGAAGTACAACTTGAATTGCTTGAGCCGGAACAATCTGCCAAACAGTTAAGTGCTATCAACGGTCATCAAGGAAGTACTGCTTGCTGTAAATGTAGCTTTACTAGAATTCAAAGTTCACAGAAAAAGCTACTGCACTGAGGAATCTCTTAACATTCAGCTACTAGAGCTACTTAAGTCGAAGAAAAACCACTCCGTGCCCTCTCCTTAACATCCTTTTTCCACCCACCTTACCTTCCAGAGACAGCACTCTCTCTCCAGTGACTGTGAACTGCCTACACCATGTGCACACTCCTGACCACTCCCTGTAGTAAGCAGGGAAGCTCTCAGAATAAACTCCTAGCTGCAGTCTTCCCCCCACACCCACCCATTCAAACTACCATTCACTCATGGTAGTTGGCTGCTTCCAAGTTGGTTTCATTGCCCTTGTTAGCTCAATGGCTTTTGGAGCATTTTCTGTATCAAGATAAAAGCAGAGAGTGCCTTCTGCTCAAGGTCAAACTCCTGCTTACCCTGCAGGTCAACAGTAACCTCCTGTGGGGGTTCTGCCCTTTGGCTGCCATGCTCCCAGCCCACTCGTGCTGACCAAAGTACTAACTTTACTTGGGTTAACTCACTAGGACAGCAAATACTCCCCTAATCCCTGCTCTACTTCAGAAAGCAGATGCTGGTGTGTTCCGTTTATTCAAATATCTCTAGTCTGCAACCAGACATTAATTCCACGCTGACAAACACACTAACTGCTCTCAAGACACCATGTTTCCATAGTGTTACATAAAAATCTCATGTCCCTCGATCCTAAGACAGGTTGCTAGTCTTCACTTCCATAATGGAAAACACAGACCTTATCCATCAACTTCCATTTACTTTTCCAGTAAGTATTAAGTTTCTGAAAAACGTCTCTTTGCTTAACAGCATTTTTAATGAAACAGAATGATCGTCATTAACTGAATTACAGCCAGCAATCTTTACATAAAGCTTCCCTCTCCCAATTATTTGTAATACCTGCAATTATCACATGTTGCCCAATCAAAGTGCTGCATAAGATAGGAGTCCATGAAATCTTTGCCACAGTCTCCACAGATGAGATAGTCAAATGCTAGTACGGGTGCTAATGGAAAAAAAAATTTTTTTTTTAAGGAACTACCATGTTAAAAACAACCACCTGGTATTGGTATTACAGACAATTTTACTCAAATTTACATTATAGTTCTTATAGTTATTTGTTACAGACTAGTTTCACTGCTCTAAGTTTTCCAGAAAGACACAGTACAAATTCAAACCCATTATCATACAATCCCATCTCTGCTGGTATATTTCTGTTCTTGCTGGAAGGTTCACTGTTATTAAGTACTGGATTTCAACATTCAAACACATTTGTTTCGACTTAGCCATTGTTTAAAAAAAAAAAAAAAAAAAAGGCAAAAAACCCCTCTCCACATTTCCCCATAAAGCGCTTCACATCCCCTCCTACAGCTTCCTCTGTCCTGGCCCTCAGAAGTATGTCCTCATTTACAGAGGACATGCAGGCAGGAATGGGAGGAAGCAGAGAGAAGGGGATGCAGTTCCAACAGGGTGGCTAGAGCAGGAAGCAGTACAGGAGCAGCACTGGCATCATATAGTCCTCTCAGCTCTGCTCCAGTTCTTTTCCTAGCTCAGCCACACCTGCCTCTCCCTAAATGAGCTCAATGGAGGCCTGGGGCAGTTGGCAAGACTCTTGTCCTTTCCAGCGGGCAGAAATGGAGGTGGATGGCCAGAGAGCTGCTAGGAGTGGAATGGGGATGGAGCTCCACTACAATCCTCTCCCCAAGCCCTCTCAGCACTGCTCCAAGCCCAGACTCATCCCGGTGCCAGCCATCACTTCTGGCCGCATCCTCGCCGGGTAGATCACCTCCAGCGTCATCGTCATCTGGTTTGCGTTCCATGGGACACTAAGAAACACTGATTCAGGTAACCACAGTTCTAAGGTATGTTCCTTTAACAGTAACATTGTAGTTCTAGCAGAAAAAATAACATTTTTATACAGTTTCACAAGCTGAAAGTGAGGTAATGCTGCAGAATATTAACAATACCTGAAAAAGAAGATTAATGCTTGACATGCAGCACCGTACATTTTTAATTGCGTTTGCATTTATAGCAGATTCCATCTAGCAAAGACGACATTTTATGCCAATTCAGTCCTACTAGCGACAGTGGGATGCTCAGTACTTCACATAGTCATGCTCTTACATCATATTTCATCATTTAAGGCAGTAGTCCCGAACATAAAGACATTTTATTAAGATAATGACATTATGAATTACACAGCAAAAATACCTCCAGTGCGAAGGCATCCCAAAGCTACTTAATTTATTGTTAAACATTAACTCCTCAAAAGAAGTAGGGTTGCTAGTTGTTTACACTCTTAATGAAATCTGGTGGTGATTTCTAACAAAGAGATACACTGCACCAACAGCCCTGCAGCTGATTCAGAGCAGAACAAAGCAAGACAAAGACAATCCCAGAGAAGAAAGTGAATCTATTTTGGGATCCTTACTTCTCCATTTGCTTTTTGGAGGGAGAATATCACAAGACAATATGTCGAAATCCTCCACCAAACGATCAGCAAGTTGGCGTCAGTACGTTTTATAACGATAAAAGCTGGCACTGCAGCAGTGCTCTCATCTTGGCACGAACGATACCAACCTAAAAATTCCCAGAACCGACGAAAATGCGCGGATTTACACTTATTTTGGTCTTAAAATTCAAATTCCCGAAAGAAATAGTGGAAATAACGTTTATCGGGGAAAGGAAAAAACTGCCATACCCAAGGGCACTGACTGTGTCCCACTTCCGCGGCTTAAAATTCTTCATTTTTAATCACCGCGTATTCGGTAGCCGCTTTAATGCTGAAAGAACCAGATGCGCCAGATAGAACACATCCAGAAAGACGCGTGAGGAGGAAGAGAAAAAAAGAAAAAAAAAAAAAAAAAAAAAGGGAGGGGGGGAGGGGGGGAGGAAGAAGAAAGGGGGAGAAAAAAAAGCCCGGGAAAAAAAAAAAAAAAAAAGGCGCCCAACCCGCCCTGCTCGCTCAGCCCGACTCACTGTCGCCCCCGCGCCTTCCTGCCCTCCCCCGCCGGCTCCACGCACACGGCACCGCCTCCTCCCGGCGCCCCAGCCACCTCTTTCCTGCACGGCTCCCTCCCAGTTTTTTTTTGATTTTTTTTTTTTTTTTTTCCTGGAGGGTGGGGGGGGGTAGGGAGGTAGGGTTTTTTTTTTTTTTTTTTTTTTTTTTTTTTTTTTTTTACCGGGAGGATGCACGATTTTCTCGGTGGCGCAGAGGTCTTCCTCCTTCGCGAAGAAGCCCCCTCCCGTGTCCACGACCTTGGGGGGGGCCCGCGCCCGCCCGCCGCCTGCAGAAGACAAACGAGACGCCGCGTTAAGCGCCACGGCGGGAGCCGCCGCCGGCAGGGGGCGCGCGCGCGCGCCCCCGCGGCGCGAGGCGGGGGGCCGCGCCGCGCGCGCGAGGGCCCCCCCCATCCCCCCACGTGGGGGGAGGGGGGGGGGGGGCCCTCGCGCGCCGCGGCGTCGGCGGCTTTTCCCCCCCCCCCCCCTCCTCCTTCCCCCCCCCCCCCGCCTTTCCCGCTCCCGCTCCCCGCCACCCCCGCCGCCTCGCACCCAACGGCGGCGCGGCGAACACCGAACCCCCCCCCCCACACCCCCGCCCTTCCCATCCTATTTCTCGCCCTCGCCCCCCCCCCCAAAAAATTAGAAAAAGGGGCGCGGGGAGCCGGACCGGCGAAGCCGGGCCCGTCCGCCGCCGCCATCCGACCTGCGGCAGGGTAGGGCCGGGCCGCCAGCCGCGCCTGCCGCAGTGCCAGCGCCCGCTGCCGGTTCCGCTCGATCCTCGCCAGCTGCGCCGCCGAGAGGGGCGGCCGGTCGCCCGCCACGATCGAAGCCGCCTCCTCTTCCTCTTCGTCGGCCGGGGCCGGGGCCGGGGCCGCGACCGCGCCCGCCATGGCGGCGGAGCGGCGGAGCCCCACGGATCCCCCCCGCTCCGGCAGCGGCGACTCGCCCTTCCCCTCGCCGAGCCGCCGCCGCACTGCGCCTGCGCAGAGAGGGAGGCGGGGGAGGGGGCGAAAGGGGCGAGGCCCCCCGCGCAGGCGCGCAACCGCCGCCTCGCCTCCCCGCACCGCCACGGCGGGCCCCGCCCCGCCGCCGCGTGGGGGGTGGCGGGAAGCGTGGGGGGGGGGGGGGGGGGGGGCAGGGAGGGGGGGGGGGGAAGATGGGGGGAGGGGGCGCGCGGGGCCCGGTGGGGCGGGGGCTGCGGCCTGCGTGGCGCCCGGCCACGGGGGTCGGGGGGGGGGGGGTACGGGGATGTGGGGGGGTCGGGGGGGGGCCCGGCGGCGGGCCTGGGGCCCCGGATTTCAGTTCGGCGGGGCGGGGTGGGGGAGGGGAGCCGATGACCCTGCGATTTCCGCGCTGGGCCGCGTGTGCCGCGTTTCGAGCGCTTTCTGCACCAACCTCCGCTTCAGACTTGAGCAACCCCGTTTTTTTTTAAAAAAAAAAAAAAAAAAAAAAAAAAGCAGCAAAACCACCGCCCCTTACGGCAGGAATTCCTTAACAGCGTCACCCAGCAAATACCCCTTTTGTCCCCGAAACGCGGCCCGCGCGCCGTGTCCGCGCCCGACGGCGGGCACGCGGCGGCCCGGCCAAAGTCCCGCGGCGTGGCGTGGACCCCGCGGCGTGGCGTGGACCCCGCGGATGTGCCAACGCCCGCCGGCCGGGAGCCCCCCGCTCCGGCGGGGAGGCCCGCACCCCCCCCCCCACCCCCCCACCCCCCCCCGCCTCTGAAAGGCGGCTCCGGGGGAAGTCGGTCCAGTTCCACCCGCGGCGGGGGGCCCGCCGGAACGGCTTCACCCACGTTTCCTGCCCTGAAAAAGGTCGTTAACCGGTACCGTGGCTGTGCTCGCAGCCGCGCTCGGCGGGGGCACGGAGGGCTTCCTTACCAAAATCCCCGTCGCTACCTTTCATGGGTGCGCGTGATCCACGCGCAAGAGCAAAGGGAGAATAAATGGAGCCTGGAGCCTGCCTTATTGATGAGCTACACGTAAATGGCTTTGTCATGCAAATGTGGCTCTAAGCCACTTTCCTATAAAGCCAGCTTAGCGCCGAAGAGCCGGTCGTCCTCGCTTGTCCGTTGGGCAGCGCCTGCCCTGTCCTTGAAGCAACGGAAATGAAGACGTTGGTACAGATGTTTGCTCCCGGCCTCCATACCGAATCGGTGTGACCTTACAGCACAGAAAGAAGTCTTCCTCCCCCACCCCCAAAGGTCTCTCTCTGCCATTAAACTAAATTAATTTCCTGCCAACCCTTCCCTGCTGCCCTCAAAACACATCCCCAGTGCCTCTCCGTTCCAGTCCTAACTACCCACGGCGATTACCTGCACAGGCTGCGCTTCTGCTATGTCGAAAAGACATTTTTATTTCTTTTTAGTCTGTCGTCCGTGCTTGGTATTAACTTTCAACAACAGCCAGTAGAGTGTGCTGTGAACGCTGTGAAAAGAACATTCTGCTTCTGGGAATTTTTATGCATGTGTGTGTGTGTGTATATATATATATATATAAATATATATTTAAAAGCAGATAAAGACATTTTTGAGTGGTTCAAATAGTTGCATCACTAGTAGGTAGTTCCTCCCATCAGTTAAAATACCTCTCTTGTCACAGATCACAGAACCTCTTCCTTAAAAATTAATAACCAAGTCATACTAAGCTGTCTACTTTCAGCAAGATTGCTTTCAGTGTTTGTACAAAGTTGGAAAAGTGCCACAATGATCACGGCCAAATACCTCTCACAGTCAGAGAGAGGCGTCTATAACACAAGGTATTTAATAGACAAAAGTATAAATTGTAATCCTGGCCTACAGGAAGCTGTTCATGAAATGTTACCGTATGAGCATACTTTTCTCCAACCTCATTACTCTCTCCTTTGGAATTCCTGACAAGGGAGTTACACAGAGATTAATAAATACATTAGAAATAAGTAAAATAAAAGTAGTTTGAAGCAAAGCTACTTTTACAGAATTGGCCATGGGCTGCAATTATCCATGCAATGCAGCTAGTGCCTTATTAAGTGAAACCGTTGTAAAGACATATACTGGAAGTTTTCTTATTTTTCTCAGCACCAATCTGTCTGGACAGTCGCAACTGAATATTCTCCCCAGCTCTGCTTCCAAACAGAATGAATCAAATGCAGTGGTCCTAATTTTCATGGTCACGAGGATAAAACTACTAATTACGTGTTATCAAGAATTTGGAAACTATCTCATATGCAGTACTCTGGTCATGTGAGAATATTAATGTTTAATATTAAACACACACAGCTTAATGGGTGCATATGAGTTAATAATCATAATGGTATCTGTGCTTTAGATTGTTTTTCAGGTACTGTATGCCAAGTAATACTTGATATTACTTAGCTGCTGGTAGCTGTCATTAATTGGCAGTGTGAGAAGCAGAAACTGCCCTCTCTTTGTAAGCACTGCTTAAGAGTAATGAAAACATCCCTGCATTATCAACACTGTTTTCACCACAAATCCAAAACATAGCCCAATGTTAGCTACTACAAAGATTAACTCTAACCCTGGCAAAAGCAGTATATAAATGCAAGATTATGTAACCTAATCCTAACTTTACACGAATGATAGTGATATCTTAGTTGGTTTCTGTAAGTGTGGCCTGCATAAACACCAGCATGGTGTTTGGAAAAGCAAGGCACGTTTTAAGGAAAGCAACGGAGAACAAAACAGGGAGCTTATTCAGGCCACTCCACAGATCTGTGGTGAGTTTTCACCCTGAGCACCGTGCCCGGTTGTGTTTCCTGCTTCTTAGAAAGGAAATACTAGAACTGGAATAGGATAACAATAAGAAGGATGCTCAGCCGTCTGGCTTCGTGTCCCTTGAAAGGAACAATTGAGTAGGCTCAGAGTTTTCACTCAAAAGAAATTACTTAGCGAGGATATGCCTGAGGCCTTTCGCATTCTAAGTAAATTGGAGAGGGTAGATGGCAATTGACTTTTTGAGTACCAACCATCAGATTTGTGGTGGTGGGAGCCAGGCTCTAAAGAAACAGGAGATGGTTCCTCCAGCTGTGTGGATGTGTGCAGTGCCTTTCTGAATGGCACACTGGTTACAGCCTGTTTCTCTGGAGTGCAGGGGAGATTGGCTAAGTATTTGGAAGAGTGTTGTGTTGAGAGTTAGTGAATGAGCACCCCCTCAGGCTCAGGAAATCCCAGAGCAGAAAGCAGTTGGAGGCTGTGGGAGTGTTGCAGAGGAGGTATCGTATATTTGCCATGTTTTTCCTCTTCCCTTGATGTTTGCCGGTGGCCTGTCGTGGAAACAGGACGTTGGACCGACTGGGTCCTTCATCCAAGGCAGTACACCTCTACCCCTGTGTTCATGGAGAATCACGCTGTAACTGATACTTAAAACACCTGGAGCCACATAATAGTAAGCAAGCCTGTGTGATGGGGTCTTTCAAACCAGATTCAATGTTCATTTATACCAGGATTTACTTACAGTGCAGCTGCTGTGCTGTATATTTCTGTTTTGCCTCATGATATACTTATTTCTCTGTGTCTACAAAGTCTTAATAACAACCTGCCTACAGCTGCATTGCAGTTGCATACCTACAACCAAACCATCTTTTTGTCCTCCCTCAGTAAAAACGTTCATTCTGTGAGAAACAGATCTAACAAAGTCTTACTTTTCTGTGGGTTTGTCTTTTGAAGGGAGTGGCTGTGAAGAAAAATCTCTTTACTGCTCTCTCCCCTCTCCCCGTCCCTCTGATGGTTCATGTGGCAGCATCAAATTTAGCCACATTTGAATTCTGTAGCTAGCAACTGACCAGCCGGTACACACAGGCTGTTGGCTACTGCCTCTTAGCATGACTAAGGCATTGGATTTTGTCCAATGATTTCAAATGCTTTTATGGGAGAAAACAGTTCAATTGCATCCTTAGGGATGTAAGGCAAAAAATACCATGCCCTTTGCGATTGTATTTCCATCAGGTTTTTAGCGTGATACACCCATTTCTTATGTTACCTTAAATAAATAAACGGCTAAGTATTGTTGGATTCCTGGTGAAAAAGAAGCATATGACCTACAAAAATCAAAGGGAACTTGTTAAAACTGGAGAGTGCACCTGCTTGGATTTGTATGTTCTCTTTCTGAATTCTCCTATGCCGTAGCTCATGGATCAGAGATATGCAGTGAATCATCTTGTTGGACAGAATGGGACATGCAAAGTAAATTAAGTTTGTCATCTCTTTGTGAGATTTTCTCATTTGCTCACTGCCTGTAGGAGGGGATTTTCATAGTAATGTGACCTGTCTTCACGCTCCATTTATCATCTCCCAATTGATGTATATAATCTTGGTTGAACAGATAGATAATGGAGGAAACAGGTAAAGTGTTGAATGCTTGAGCAACAGGTCTGAAAAGAGCAGGTAGGCAAGAATTGAAGTGCAAATGTTTAAAGACAAAATTTGGCATTCTTCCCTGACAGAAGATCTTAATGCTAGTTTGTTATTATTTTCTTGTTACAGGAGATGACAAAATGTGAAATTGCAACGTAAATATATTTTATTTGCTAGCATTGTACATGACTTTTCTGTTTTATTACTTTTACTGAATAGGACTTTAATATGTTTGCTTTAATGTCAATAGAAAACACTGGTTTCACATCTGTGAACAGGAAAATGTTAAGGCATGATGAAAAAGTGCCACTTTTTACTGTTTCAGAGATAGCCACAAAGCTGACTACACACTTTTGTTGTTGATTGTCAATCCAGAAAGAGAAATCGTCTTTCACTGTTTTACCAGGAAAATCATCTTTCTCTTCCAGGCACATAAAGAATGGGAAACTGTGGAAAAATAACAAACATGTTCTGTAACTGCAGCATATCAGCCTTCAACGATTTGGTATCTTCAATACAAAGAATTGAGACATTGTAGCAAATTTTTTTTTTTTTTTTTTTTTTTTTTTCTGAAACTAAAGTACTGAGAGATTTTTCTTGCCCCACCAATGGCTGGTAGAGGAGATGTGGAAATGGGTTTGAAGACTCTTCAAACTCTTCATGTTTTAGGTCTTTTTTCCAAATGTGCAAGGCTTGTTCACGTGTAGCGATATTCGCATATTGCATAAAAGGGATGTGTGCATTAGCAGATTTTTTCCCCTTCTTGATTTTCCTATCTGGCCAGTTATTTAATCCATGCAGTTATTTCCCATAGCAACTTAGAAACGTTAAGAAACTTTGCTTGATGCTTTGATACTTTTTCATTCTATTAAGAGGATCTCAGGCATTTCTGAGACAGAAAATCAGTATATCTTATATTATAACTACTCTCCAAGGTATGAGATCTAGCTCTACTTATGGTGAAAGTCTGAACATTATGGAGAAAAGTGTAAAATTCTGGTCTTCCTGAAGTATCTAAGAAAATGTATTTAAAAAGAAATTCTTCAAATATCTGGTTTATATCATTCAGTGTATTATACCTTCTTTGTTTTTTTTTTTTTTTTTTTTTTTTTTAAGCAATACCATAGATATACTCTTTTTACAATTGCTTCCAAGTCAGCCTGACTTGTTCCTATGTACAGAGTAGCTGGAACAGAAAACCATAAAACATCTGACAAAGTCTGCTGTAGCAAGGAAATCATGTCCCAGTTACCAGACTTTAAGCAAGATGTGTCTCTTCCAGTACTTGCAAATCTCTGCAAAATACTTTGGTGCCGTTGGCCACAGGTTTGATCAGATCTCTCTCCAGAATTTGGTTTCCTAATGTTAGCCACAAACATGTGATGGGAAGTTCATCTCACAGTGCTGGCCACGGGCACCTCCAGGCCCCTGTCCTGCTCTTCAGGACAGACACCACCAGGAACAGTGGCCAGTTCTGTGTGTTGAAGCACGAGAGGAGAAGGGGGATGTGGAATTCATCTTAGAGACTGGACCATGCACTTTCGGTTCACACCAACCTACCTGTGAGAAAAATATGGAGCCAACATATGGCTTAAGCTTCCTACAAATGCTGGACCAGTGAGAGGTGCTTCTGAGGGACTATGCCTTCCACAGCATTTGAATCTTGAACATAATCTAAATGTATCCTCTCAGCATGACCAGCAAATGGTTTCTGATCGGGGTC